ATCGTGAACAGACGCAACAATATGAAAGTCTCCAAACTTTTCTTTTAAACTTTACTTTGAAAGCGAGACAATTTGCAAATATATCTAATATTCTGGAATGAAAATATATTTATTTCTTCTACGCATCAGTAACATTGTATCGAAGTGTGCGTGCGATGCATATGGATGCATTTGTAAAATTTCTACTGAAAAGTAGATTTCAAAAATGCTCATACTCATAAGCGATCTTTTCTTCTCTCCTTGAGTATTTTTTTTTCTATCTTATCTGATTTTTTCAGCCTTTTTTTCGCATGTTCACATGTGGGCGTACATACATAATCTTCTGTTCTGTTATTAACTTTCTTGATCTTTTGCCTAATATCTCGTGTGAGCGTGTATCTGCAAGATGTGGTAGTTCTGCAAACCGTGCAGCCGTTTTACAATAAAAAATGCGCAAAAATTATATATACATGCCATGTAGATCACTGAAAAAAAAAAGAGTTGAAATATTTAGTGTATGAATCTGTTAAGAAACTTCATAGCTTGGCCATCTTATTTTCTGTGCGCAAAGTTGAAAACTTAGACTAAATTATAAAAAAAGAAAAATATGAAGACAAATTGTGTAAAGAACACACGTTCAACTTTTGATGTGTTTAACTCGTTTCTCGGATGTATTATAATCTTCCTGGATGTTTTTGCTTGTCTCTTTACCTCTACTCGACGTATGTACACTTTAAAGAAATAGTTTTTTGGATAGCTATTCACGATCCTGTACTTTGTACTGTGTAATTAGTTGCAGTTTATGAGAAAAACAAAAAAAATAGATCCGAAAACGAAATAAACGGGATGCACTTAATTGCCTTAATGCGGGAATGCCTGAAAAATTAATGGGAGGAATCGACTACCCTCTTTGAGAGATGGATGTATCTGCATTGCGAAAATCTTTGCACATGATGCTCCAATGAAGTTAATACTGTACTGAGCTAATCTTAATAAACATATGCGTACGTAAAAAATAACCAAATTGCGGACATTGAGCGAATTTATTGCATTGTATGTTCTGACTGAACCAATTGTCCAAATTAATATACCATGACGATTCTCACTCTAAACCGAAAGCTCGTCTTCAGGAACGAAGCAAGACTCCAAAGTGATGCAAGTTCAATTTTCTAATTTTTTAAATTTTTATCTCAGTTTGCACAATCGATTATAAACTTTTTTTCCCGAATTGTGTTCATGCATGGAACATTGTGAAACTTTTTTTATTTATGCGAGAAGTTATGTTTCCCTTGTTTCACGTCACTGTCATAGTTCAGAACTTTCTTTTTTTTCCCATTTGAAGCGTTTTTATTGTTATTGATAACAATGACATTCGAAAATTTGACCAACAGTCAAAATATTATGATTATTATTGCGAAAGAATTTTTGTAACATTCTACGATATTTGAAATCTCAAAAACTATTTCCAGTCGACGATCGATCAAGACTCAATTTGTGAATTAAATTGATTTGATTCGTGTCAAGTGATGTAAGAGAAAATCAAGGTTTGATGATTATCACAACGAATACGATTAGAGCAGAATCAAGCATAATAACGTCGTTGCAACCCCGAAAGGAAAAGTGCGTACACGATATTTCCCTTCCTCGTTCCTCTTTTCATCGGATAAAGTCAGTCGTCTCCCTCTTCTCACATGTTTCGATTTGTATTTACTATATTTTACGTACCGTTGTCTACCACATAAGTGAATAATATATATATAAAAAAAAAACTATATAAATATAGATAGAGTTACACACGCAGAGGCAGGGTGCACGTGTCTATATACGTGGTAGCATATCGCTTCCTGAATATGCGTCATGTAATTGTGTTTACGCACGTGCCGAAGTAAATTCGAAGAAACGATGTAGGTGATAAAAAGATATGTGATGGGATTATAAAAGAAGCAACGGAAGATAGAGCTTAAAGAGCGAACACTCGAAAAAGAAAATTTTATTAAATCTCGGTGATTTATTTAACGGTGATTACTTTAACGCTCTTATTATCGTGTATCGTTTCTTATAACGTTATAATCGATTATTAATCCGATAATCTTAAGGCTTGTATATCTAGATTTTGCGGCCCGACACGGTGCCTGATTGTAATATATTAGACAATTATTCATTATTTTAAAATGTCGGAGGGAATGTCGTCAGCGTTGTAACATTGCGTTGTCGCTGTATGAGTGGAGATTAAGCGAGATCGCGCTCATTTTTAAGAATAGCTATACATTGTAAAACGTGGGAACGGTGTTCCTGTAAATGTCGCCCTTCGTTAAAATGCTTTATTTGACAATATTAACGTTATGTGGTATTTTTGAGCACCGAATGAGAAAAAATCTCCGCAGTTACCCTCCTTACGTTTCACCCTGTTGTCCTCTAAATGAGGTAACTCGGCACCTCGCCTATTTAATGACTTTATTAATTAGCAAAGAGTATGACATGTTTGTACGAAAGGCAGGAATAATGTACATAGAATATAAACGATTAATTTGGCACGAACGATTATGTAAAAAAAAAAAAAATGCTATAACCATTACTTGAAGAATCATTGCATAACGCCTTAATCTATCGTCGTGGACTGTAATGTGTCGATCGAGTTTATTATAATGATCTCTGTATCATTTTCTTTTTTAATTGAGAAACGGAGAACACAATTTCGTGAGAAGAAAAGTAGATTTTTTTCTTTTAATTGAACTTTGCGATTTTGTTTTTCAAATAATCTTATATTACTTTAAGAAATGCAACAAGGAATAACTGAACGGAACAGGTTAAACTCAGCGAAAGCTGATTCGAATTCTGATTAAAAGGGTTTAACTTTCCATTGATTTCAATAGCGTTTTGCCCTCACGAGCTGTAGTCAAAGTGCGGAGAGAGGCGGGCGATTGTGCATGATAAAAGAAGAATCGTGTGTAGCAGTTAGAGAAGCCGTACGTAGTAGGTGTATAAACGGTAGAAAGGAGAGCGTGCTAATGATTGTAATAATTGATAGTCTGACTTCCCCCCCCCCCCAAAAGAAATTTTAAACCCAAGTTTACCACTGTGTTGCTCCTTCGAAGAATGTGATGTTTTTTCTTAATAAAGCACAGAAGAAACATGCGAAAAATAGTACGAGTAGGGAGATGCAATGTTTACTATTTTCTTTAATGTGCTGATTGTGGGATGCCTTGTACAGAATATCTATCAAAATATAGAAATCTGCACAACGTTGTATTGAGAAAGTTAAACTGGTCTTTCATGAATGAACATTTAAACCGAAATTTCATTATTCGTTCGTTTACTCTCAATAACAGTCTCAAAGTATTTGCTTGTTACTGGATTTCCACACTTTGATAGATATTCGCGATCAGATCGCAAATGGAGAAGAAAGGAGAGCAAGCGCGGAAACTTTTATGTTATTCACCGATGGATTCAATTCCGAATCACATAATTCGATGTTGATAGATTTAAATTAAATGCCGAGGAGAAAGTCACACTCGATAGTGCCGTTTGTATTGGCAAGGTTGCGTTAGAGCGCTCGTCCGTTTTTAGATAAAAAGTAGCGGGAGATCACGATTAGAAATTTATGCGAGAGCTTGAAAATGATCATGAAAGGAGCATGTAGCCCTTCCATTTTGGTAGATCATTTATTTAGGCGTTCCAGTTGCATCACGTAAAGTACTTATGCAGTAAGTGGTGTTAATTAGAGTTTGCACGGCGTTCACAGTCGAATGGGATCTCTTAACGCGGCCTTGTCGACACATAAAATTCAACCCTTGACCGGTGACGTTGAACAGAATCTTTTCTATTTCAGTAACTTGATTATTATATAAGGATCTTTATATATAATTTTATAAGAGGAAAATTTTAATTTGTCATTTTTGAGGAAAATGATTTAATTACTTGATCAAGCAGGCGATACCGATAAATTCTTGATAAACATTATCAACGTCCAAGTCACCAGTTAAGCGTTGAACTTTCTCGCTATCGAATCTATGAAATTTTCTCTTTGAACACAACTTCGATCAGGAAGAGACCTTGGAATTCCGAGCGATATTTTGCTAAGGATTTTTCTCTGGATGATTGAGTGCGTAATCGGGCGAATTATCGCATTGGGGGAATTCTTCACGGATTTTTACCTGACTTTTCGATCGACAATGCTATACGAATATATATGAATACACGAGCGCGCAATGTACGAAAGTGAAAATGTCGAATGAATGAGTAAGAAAGAGAGAGAGTGTGTGTGTTGATAATCGAAAGCTGTGCGTGACATACACGTTGAAACGGAAAGTGTTGACGAACATTACTGCTAAGTACTAATAGAGAGAATTCAAGTGAAGTCTTATACATAATAATTATTGAAATGTAAATTGTGTTTGGTTGTATTTTGTGTTATAAGCCTTTGATGCTGAATATAATGGAAATTCAATCAAAACCTATGCGTCCAATGATTCTTTTTTCCATTAATATAACAAGCGTATGAAATGTGTTTAGAAATCACACAAAAAAATCTTTCTGCCAATGTATTCTACCATTATAATTAATATTAACAATTGATTAATTTGTATGATTTCATATTACCCTGTTTCTATGCGTTAATGTCGATTTATTGATATTGAATCATTCATAGTAAAATATTAATTTAAATATTATTGTGATGATTCTTAAAAACTCTTTGCTTACCATTGATTATCGTTTCCACGTTTCCAAGCATCCCGCGCGTATAAGCGCACGCGCAATATCTATCGGCTCCTCGTGTATTTCATCTTAACTATCTTTAAAAATCGATTTGTATTAAAATCGAATCTAGTTTTAAAAATTAATCTTTTTAAACGAAAGATTGATATTCTGAAAAATTAATTCCGAATCAAACACCCATTCGTACATGCTAAAATAATAATTAAAATGTATGTATACATCTTTAGCTGTTGTATCTTGTATATGAGACAGTAGAGATAATTTAGAAAAACGTCAGCGTGTACATGATCCACTCGTTCGTTCGAATAGCGACGAGATTGTTGCACAGTGTTCCTGAAAGTTTGTTAAAAATGGGACCGTTCGAAAGTGCTAAGAAAATTGCAGCTTGCAAAGCCGTCAACGATTATGTCCAGGTAGATTGATTTAAGAAAAAGCATATTGAGTAGTTATTGGAGGTTATATTAATCTCAGTAAGTCATTTTTCAGAATAACTCTGTCATTGGAATTGGTAGCGGATCCACTATAGTTTATGCTGTCGACAGACTCGGTAATAACTATTTTTTTATCACGTTATTCGGAGATTATTTTATATAAATATTTAGAAAATTTCCATTGAATTCTTTTAGTACTGTTTTGAAATCTTCATTCTTCGTAGAGAACACTGAGTTATATTAATAAAATTGTATAAAGTTTCCATAAATCTGTATAAAGGCATTAGTGCTTTTATATTAAATTTTCTATACACAAATGTGTGTCTATAAAAAGAACATGTATACAAGGAAAATCCATTTTCTTGTAATAAAGCCATTTTCAAAATAAATGACCGTATAACTGTAGCAACGCGTTACTGCTGATAGTTGGTAAAGAATTATTTTTCTACTACTAATTTAATTTTAAAATTTAAACTTTGATATTACAGTATGTTTTATGCATTTTATCTCTCTGGATTGTTTTACTAAAAGACACATGTGACTGAATCAACCTTTGACCTTTGCATCAATAACATTAGCATATTTTTTTACTCTTATTCTATTATAAAAAATTCCACTTGTTAAACTGAGGTTTTTGTATAATTTAAAATAATATCTTGGTCTTTAAAATTTGTAAAATGTATCTTTGTTACATTGAAGCATTTTATAAATATATCAGCTTATACTCTCAAAAATATTTTATAGACTCTTACAAGAATATTATTTTCAGCCGAACGTGTTAAGACCGAAGGACTTAATGTAGTCTGTATCCCTACATCGTTCCAAGCTCGTCAACTTATATTAGATAATCATTTAACCTTAGGTGACTTAGAAACATATCCAAAGGTAATTCTTAAACATACTCCCCTTATACATATTATTTCCTTATTACATTAAATATTTATAAACTTGTGACATTAATATAGCTGGACTGTACAATCGATGGAGCAGATGAAGTTGATGCGGAAATGAATCTCATCAAAGGTGGTGGTGGATGTTTATTACAAGAAAAAATTGTTGCTTCCTGTGCCAAGCAGTTTATTATCATAGCAGACTATTCGTAAGTATATGATTTTTACCTTAATCATCAAATACTTCCCTTTTACAATTGTCTGTGTATTTCAGGAAAAATTCACAACATCTTGGTGACCGATACAAGAAGGGAATTCCCATTGAAGTACTTCCTATGGCTTATGTGCCGGTTCAATGTAAAATTGTGGACATGTATGGAGGAGTAGCAAAACTCAGAATGGCCCTGTCAAAAGCTGTAAGAACATATTTGCATTAGTTTGTTACTAATTCAATTAATGTGTGTGTGAATGTCAGGTAGATAATTTATTTATTTGCAGGGTCCAGTTATAACGGATAATGGTAATTTTATTTTGGACTGGCACTTTCCGCAAGAGTTACGTAATTGGAGAAAAATTAATGAGGAAATATCTCTGATACCTGGAGTCATAGAAACTGGTCTATTTATAAATATGGTCGAAAAAGTTTTCTTTGGTATGCCGGATGGCAGTGTAAAGGAACAAAGTGCAAACATCGAAAAAATTTGATGTACATATGTCAAAGTATAACTTGTTCTTTTTTTTTTTTTTTTTTTGGGCAATAACTATATCTAGTTATAGGATAATACTATCAGAGGGAGGATTCTCAATTATCTTTTTTTGTAATCAATTTTTGTCTTGCCTCTTATATGTCATTCCAATTATTTCATAATTGCTTCTTTCATATATTTTCTATGTTTTTATCAATTATTTTTTATGTATGCAATTTGTTTATATCAAACTTTGTTCATATCAAACTTTTCATTACTATTATATAAGCTTTTATAATGATTTTTCAACCAAAAGTTATGTTTTAAAGATAAACTGCTCAATACTTCTAAGAACATGTTTTGCAACAGTGATAAGTAAAACAGTATATGTATAGTACAAAATATTTGAAATAAGATCGTATATCGATAAAAAATAAAGATAAAATGTACAAAGCTCGAAATAAATAAAATATAAAATTTTTTACGCAGCAATAATTTTTGCAAAATAATTTTACGCAGCATTTTCTTGTTTATATTTAAATAAATATAATAAAGATATGTATATACTTCATAATATTTTTCATATCTTTGATTAAGTATTTATATAATATTTTGGATACTGATTGTTGATAAATTAAATTAAAAAGTGAACTCTACATATGTAATTATTATTCATATGAAAAAAAAACATACCTGATTAATAATTCCTTAACAAAAAATAATACGCCCGAACAGGGACTCGAACCCTGGACCCTCAGATTAAAAGTCTGATGCTCTACCGACTGAGCTATCCGGGCTATTATGGAAGGTGGGATGTTAATATTGTATTGCCATTCCTGTCTTGAAGAAACATCTACAATTATTAATATTATAATATATATGAGTTTTATAATAATACAAAAAAAATTATATATAATTCAAAAAAATGTTATATTTTAATATATATATAAGTCGTTTCTTGCTCTTATGTTCCTTTTAAAAATAAATTTAAGAAAAGTTCAAAATAATTTATTTTACAATGCTATAAAATTTTCTCTAAAATTAAAAAGTGCTTCTAGAATTCTGCAGTCTCTTTCTATATTTCTCGATTTATTTATTTATGTTGGCAAAAATTAATCTTGAAAAAAATTTAATATTTTAAATTTAAAAAATTAATGTTAACATTAAATATTAACATTAAATATTAACATTATTTAATTAATATGTTGATATTCTTCTGAAATCTTATAATCTTTTAATATTCTGCATTCTCATAAATTCAGCATTCATTTAAACAATAGCTATTATGTATGAATGCTTTGAGAATTGTTGCCATGAGAATCATCGTACTCGTGCATATAAACACAGACTATAAACGTATTTATCTTCTTTTATGCGAGACGGTTACACGTTCGGTATTTTGCATAAGACGCATCTCTTATTCATAAGTGTATTATACGGTAGCTACAAGCAGCGTACGATTTACTGTTTCGCGTTAATCTAATGTCAGTATTTGTATTTAGCGTAGAATTAAAAATCGAAATGTTTTATTTATAGATCTTTATGTTTTTCAATTCAGCTTTTAGTTACAGTTTATCGTTCTTTTCCTGCCGGTTAATTTTTTTGAAAGTTTCCGAACGTTTATCGTCGCGCCAGATAAATAGTCGGAAATTTGAACGTTGGCAAAAGAGAGAGAAAAAATAGATACTAGCAGACCAGGTTGAATGACCTAATAGCTCAGCGGGTTCTGATGTGAGAACGGTGTAAGTACTTAACTCCAGCTGCTTTTTTCTGCGATTCTTACATGAGAGACTCTTATCGGCCGACCTGCCTGCTATACTTCCTGGCACCGATTTAATCGACACTAATCCCCGATCTCGATCGCCTTGCACTCGATCTCGGCTGCATAATTCAGATTCTCGTTTGTTGTGCATAAATAAGCAATAAATCAATGCGCGTGTGAAATGCTAGAGAAAGAGGATGTGTTTGCATTGCTCCATCATTCACATAAAGCTGAAATAAAATAATCATCGTTATTTTGTGTGTTCATCTCGATGTTAGACATCTTTTATTTTTAATTCTCACTTATAGCTCTTTGCGCAAATGCTCCATTTTTTAATTTAATTTATCCTAAATATAAATGATATAACGACGTATACAATATATATGTAAGATTGAACACTTCGTTGTAATTGTTTGAAAAATTCTATTTGTAAAGTTTATGGCAATCAATGTGTTACAAAGATTATTTCTATTTACGATGTAACATTTAATATAGTATTATAACATAATACAGTAATACGAACAGTGTAGAGAATTGATTTAATCATAAAAATTCGAAAATAAATGTTACCTGTTAACTATTTCGTTTTAGCGTTAATTTGTCGTATGTGAAACGTGGGTCATCATTTATGATGTTATTTATATGCATGCAGGATGTTTCATTTCAAGCGTTTTAAATTTTAAAGACAGTCTCTTTGATAATTTTGAGTCAATTTTCGTGAGAAGAATTTCCGTGCAATGCTTCGTTTTTCGCAGTTAATTGATGCCTAAAAAAGTTCGTTATTCGTGAAATTTTTTAATATTAAATATATCAATAATTAAACTTTGAATAAAAATTTCATAAATACAACAAATCCATTAAATGTTAACGAAAAGTAATCTACTGACAAGAGCAAAAATTTAGTCGCAAAATGTCCTCGAGTTTTAATTACTTAACTCATGCCTATGTGCAATTGATATTTCGATATTTGTGAAAAATAGATATTGAAAAAAATTAATAAAAATAGATAGATAGACCCCAAAATAGTTCAAAAAATTTGTTATTAAACTTTAACACAATCAAAACAGTATTCTGTATATTTTATTATTATGTATATAATGAAAATTTTGACTGTGCCAAACATGTTGGAGATAGAAATCGAATTGGGATTAAACAAAAGATGGAAAATCTGAGAAAAATAATATTTTTGCAGTATAGTATTTTATTTGTAATTGCGCGTTTTTTAAATAAAAAAAAACATGTTTCATAAAATAATTAACACATCGCATATTGGTCTCGACCATTTATATAGTAGGCGTCAATTTTTGTTTTGCAAATGCTATCGAGATATCGTCCAATTTCTACGAACTGTATGTAACGTCAAAAATATCAATCAATTATATTACAGTGGATTTGGATGATGCGTATCGAATTCTTCCGCAATTTGCAACCAATTAGTATCATAACGAAGTGCTAGAACGAGAATTCCCTCGCGAGCGTTACGCGCACTAAAATAGTTGGTATTTCGTTGCTGTCAATATACTGTTGAAGCCGCTATTAAACCGCGTGACCCATGACAACTTATGATCCGTGGATCTTAAGGGGTAACATGTACTGAATCTGTCCAACTGCGTAAGATGCATACCTCATGAACGGTCACGGAATTGGAGTACAGTTATAATAATCTCCATAGAATTATACAAACTTAAGTGTTATGCAAACAAATTTTCTGTAGAAGAAATGCAAAATATCTTTTAAAATTACATATTCTGCAGCTTCGTATAACTTTGTTAATACTGTAAAAATAATTGAATTAATATTATAATAAAGATTTAAAGAGTTAAAAATTTTATTACAATTTATAAATATGTAATATATATTTATAAATATAAAATAAAAATGTATAATGTATTTAAATTGCTAAAAAATCGAAATAAAAAAAATTAGGGAGGCACAAATTAATATAACAATTATATTTTAATAAAATTATAGGGAAACTATTATGTTGTTATTTGCATGTCATCTTCCACTTACTTATTTTTATTACAGATATAATAAAGTAAAAATCTTTGGCCACGCCCTGCCGTGCAGAGTTTCTACGTGTACTTTTGTCCAGCAAAATTGAACGATAAAGAAGATTGTTTCGCAAGGATTAAACGGGTGAGTATTTCACAAGTCGTCCACGAAATTGCGAATCCGAAAATATCCTGTCCTAATGAAGAAGGGTGTTTTGAAGTGTGAAATACGATCGTCGCCTGCGCCCTTGCGGTCATGCGTTCTCCAGTCGCTTGCATTTACCTCTGTGACGCTTACCGCAATGGGGGGAGGAATTGGTGGGGCTCGTATTTGAAGAGCGGCCGCGCAATTTCACCCCTCAAACGAGAGGGAGAAGCCACGGCTTCAACCGCGCGCGGCAAACTCTGAGTGAACAGGCACGTCCTGTAATTTATTAAAGACGTAACTTCTTTCAAAAAGTGTTGCTTCACGGGTGCATCTTGAAGAATCTAAAGATCCTTGGAACTGCTTGACTTGAAAAAAATCTCAATATGAAGGTTAGTTGTGCATTTGATTTTTTCAGTATATAAAAATGATAAATTTGATATTGTATATGATTATTAAGATTATATTAATTTTACTTAATGCTGAAACGTTGAAAATTGTTTAAATTATCATTTAATTATATCATTTTTTATATATGCGTTTCCCTAAGAATGTTTAACACATATTTTGACATATATCGATTTACATAAAGACTGCACACTATTTTACATAAAGACTGCACACTATTTTATTATAAATGTAGAAATAAAATTTTTTATATTTATTAAAAAGTAATATGAAAAGATCGTCTCTTATCTGATAAAAAATTCATCAATTTATTTGCGTTTTATGGGATGTTAAATGTGTGCAATAGAGTTTGTATGTTTATAGAATAATTTAATTCTACTTTGAATGTTTGCATGTGTAACAGCTACAAGTTCTTTGATAGCTAAAACTGTCATTTTTTTCAAATAAATATAAAAAATATTAACTTATGCAATAGTAAATTAATTATTTTCATAAATTTATGAGTAAATATCAATCAATTTTATATATAGAATAAAAAAATTAAAAAATCCAAATGCGTTAGTTTTTCACAACATAGAGTAGTAAAATTTTGCTTTTTAATGTTAACTGAAAACTTGTTAACATTTCAGCATTTAAAATTGACATATAATGTACTCTAACAAAAATATGAGTAAGATAAACTAATATTAAAAGATATGTAAATAATAAAACTAAATATATTTTACAGATATACCAAATGTTTTTAGAAAAATATGCAACGTATGCATGTTGACGTTTCCACTAACAAATAGCAAATATTTCCGACAGTTTTTATAGGAACAACTGTACATATGTGTGCTACAAACAATGACCTAATTTTTATTTTTTTTATCCTATACAAACTAATAGTAGCTCACTGTAAAGCGTATTACATTAAAAGATACGTCGTTGATACGTGAAAAATCGTTTCTCAATTTTTTTCTGCTATATTAATTAAGCAAACTTAAATGCATTCTGTACGATGTGGCAAATAACGGTACAATTTCGCTAATTGTTAATTAGTCATAGTACAAAATTGATCTGAAGCGCTTAAGCAGCTTAAAGCAGCCTCGTCGGATTTATGAGCTCTGTACAATGCTTATATAACGAGGATATTTGTTGCAAATCGTTCAGATCGTACATTGGCTGTCATTATTTTTATTACATCATCTGTGCTTATATCAGCATGGATGTCGATTACGAAATGTGTCTAAAGAGCTTTTCTTTTAACCCTGTTAACTCCTTGTTTCGTCCCGCAGATTACAGAATACCTCTGCTGTACGCTGGCTTGTATGTGTCTACTGAAGGTGGCAAATACCGAGGTTTTGGGAGATAAGGTACAAAAAATATATATTTTAATAGTTTTCTTTATATTTTTAATATTATTAATATTTTTCTTAATATTTTAATTTATTTTTTAGTTTGAATATTGCTTTGATGTTGATTTTTGTTTTATAAATTGAAGATAAAACTAAATATTTATAAATTTATTAAAAATACAACTATCTGTTTTACAAACATATTTTATAAAAATTAATTATTAAATAAAAATATTTAAAAATCTTCAAAATTTAATAAAATACGATTAAAAATATAAGTGGGATTTTTTGTAAAATAAAAATTATGTAAATATATATATATCTTGATCATAATAGAATAACAAATAAATAAAGATATTCTGCATGAATTTTAATTTATATTATAATTTAACCTCACAATTTTAAAAGATAAAATTCTAATAAAAACGCGTGGGCAGAATTCACTTTTGCAGTTCGAACGTCAGCTTCTAAATACCCTTACGACGGAGAAGACAATCAAGCCGAAAAGACCATTTTGCAATGCTTTTACAGGTAAGAGTAATGATTTATATTTTTTATAATAATTAACAATATTCTCCATATTATAAAAAAAAATATGATTAACAAAGCATTTTTTATATCTCGTAGGATGTGGCAGATTTGTTGCGGAAGAAAAAAGAGACAAGAAAAAAAGAGCACGTATTTCCACTCTACGGGACTTGCAGGACTTTCATGTGACAAGCGACAACGTCCGACTTCCGATTTCGTTATACAGAGCACTGCTGAATGCCGTAAAACAAAACAATTGGAACGCGATCGATCGTGAAGAATACGATAACCGATTACATCAAATGCCACAGGTTTATCTTTCAAATCAAATGCCTCTACGCGACACGCTGGAAAGCTAATTTTGACGGACACAACTTGACGCATGGACGCCGCCAAAGAGTTTTTTATCAACAGATATTTTTATTATATATATTTTATAAATTTTTTTAAATTATATGTACTTTTTTAATTCTAAATGTACGCATTATAAAATTTATTTCCAATTCCAACATATGATAAAACATTACGTTAATAAAATTATATTATTTTAATGGAAAAACTTTTCTTCTTTCAGAAATGTAATTGAAAGATTGAATTTCCTTTTATTCACTTTATGGCGTCCATGCCTTGATACGATTACTTATTTTCACTTATCGTATAATTAAACGAATATAAATGTAAATGAAAGATGTATAATATTGTATGATTACATTTTATTTTATATACAACTTCGATGAAAATTTTATCGTCATGTATGTATTATTCACTTATTCACAAAGAATTATATGAAAATATAATCATTATAATATTAGTGTTAGTTAGAATTAGCTTAAAAATTTTTACTCATTTATTTATAAGAACATCTTAATTAATAGTTTTGTATTTATTTGTATCTTATCCTCTATGAAATCATAATTAATTTGTTAGTAACTTTAAGCTATATTTTCTAAATGATTATTGAATTAAACCTGGTTTGTTCAATAAATTCTATAAAACCTGTTATATCTAGTTAAATAATATCCAAAATATTAACTGATTAATCATTTCATTCTTTCAATTTTTTTCCTCAAATTATAATATATATGTATTTTATTTATCAACAATGGTAAAAGTATTGCATAATAAATAACGTATTCTGATAGCCATCTAATATATATGTATACATGTGGGAGTGAAAGTATAGTAATATAAGTCAAGTTTTTTTTTTTAAATTGATTCTGAGTGCATAAATGCAATTTATACTTTGTACAAATCTATTCACTCAGTTAATTTAAAAAAAAATTTAACTTACACCACTATGGCTTTCACCCTCTCATATACATATAATCTACAAATAATCTATAAATAAATAATAAGTTTTATTAATATACCTCCATTCCACATATACCTGGTATTCCTTGAATATCTCTGAAATGTAGCTGATGGTGATTTTGATAAAACAACACGTCTGGGAATACTCAGTCCGACGCATTCCGGATTGTCCGTCTCTGCTACGGGTTTATTCCAGAAATTATCCGTGCAAAGTGTAGCCGGATCCCAAATTCGAGATCGTCGATCCACGCGCACCTCTTCCAGAGATTGATCCAGAAACTGTCGAATCGTATCATACATTAATATAAATAAATAAATCATTAATAACAGCGTAAAATGATGAAATCTAAACAGTACAAATACATTAGAAAATGTTTGTTTTCTACAGATAGTCATTATTGAGAATTTATCCTTTATCTAATTACAAAATTATATTGTCAAAATATTTTTAATTATTATATATTTTATTTATAACTTTACCATTTTTAACATTGCTCATTTTTTATTCATTTATAAATAATTTTCTTTTTTTGTAAAATTAGAAAAAAATATTTGAAAATTTAAACAATAGTTGAAAGTTATGGAATATGTTATAAAAAAAGTATTTTTATTCAATCTGTTTTCATATATATAAACAATTAAATGTTTCTTGTGTAAAATATTCCGGAAACTGGCATAGTAATAAACAACAAAAAAGTTAAAATTTCTAATTAGCTAAAATTATTTATATAATATACTTGACAAAAAAGAAAAAAAATAAGAACCACTCCATGACATAAAAAATTTTGTTTGCAAAATCCAAGTGGCAAATCGTATATAGCTAAACTTTTAAATTTTGAAAGCACCGATTGCATTAAAAAGTTTCTTTCGGCAGCGTTCGTTACGCAGCTATGATTCGATACGGCATTTCGGCATAATGTTTTTCGTCTTTTTACTGAAAGATCGCTCGCCCACAGATCCACTTTTGTATTTCGCAATTGTATTACACGTGTCCCGGAAATCCCTGCGAAACTTTATTTTACTTGGTTGGGTCACCAATTTATTTACGCGATTGCTTAACTTGACTTTAATCGTCATACTTTTACCTCGAGGCGGATCCTATGCGGAAATGGCCACGCAAGAATGGAGTCATAACGGCCGCGGCTTAATCCGACCCCCACGAAGACTGTACCGTCAGGAAAATATTTCGGTGTAATTCTTAGATACATGGCATAACCGCTTCGACCCGCATGAAAGGTCACGCTGCGCATTGAACGGCCGGTTTGCCAGCTGGCCAGCATCTCGTCGAAATTTTTCACTCGCCAATAATAAACAAACGCACGCGCCGAATCTGAAATAAAAGTAATTTATCAGTATATTTTTTTTCATTTTTGCCCTTTATTCTCACGATTGTTACTTTTATTCCACTTTCATCAATATATTATCTTTTTGTAGAAAGTGTAGAATATAATTTGTGATTTCTGTAATATAAAATGATGCATTCTTTGATGCATTTAAAATCGATCTTTTTCTTCGAAAGACATCGGGAGCTTTGACGAAAGCTCTAATTGCAAAGCTAATTACAGGATTGAAAATTACTAGTTGACAAGGTAAGCTTCATAAACGACGAAATCTCGTGTTTCAATCAATTTGAAATGCGCTGCTCCAACATGTAATTCGAGAATTAACAACAAAGATATTTAATGTCAAAAATTAATTAATTCAATATTAAATATTTGTTCATTTAAAAGCTACTTTATAATGCAATAACCGAGCTTAGCATTAATAATATTATAGGTTTTACGCATTTCACCGTGGTTAGATCACATAATACTTCTACCTACATAAATGTAACACAGTTAATCATGTACTGGAAATAAATCTGGGTATTTCGTTGAACTATTCATTACAGTAGAATCATGTTTATCCCGACTAAGCTACTGCTTTGTCATTCCTTGGACAAGGCGAGCTCTCCACAACACGTCAACAGATCCATTTGCATAAAACCACACATCTCTTACATACGAATGCTTAGCTTAGGCTCCGAAGTAACAATGCATATTATGCAAGAAGCGCAAGACTTCTACACGTGCAAAATCCGCGTTTATATTTTTGGTCGTAATTCTAGAACAGCATACATATGCAATAACACACAAAGTTAAAATATCATGTTACGCAATGTGCTTATTCTTAAGTTCCTAGAAAATGAATTATGCAGTTTCATATGTTTCACATGTATGTTATAAACAATTGAAAATAAAATTATTAAAATTTCCGCAAACTTTAAGCTTTTAAAATGCAATCAAATTACAAAAGCTGTTTGTTCGTTCAAAATTATAATACAAATTTTGGTGATAATAACGTTCAATTTAAAATATAAAAGTTTGCATTAAATAACAGTCTTAGTTAAAATTTAAATTTCAAGGAAGATTTCACACAAGATTTTTTTGCAACATGATGAATATTCTTTTCATGGTGAATCTACTTTTCAGAGATTTGACGATACATTTTAATAATCAATACAAAAATACTAGAATATGCATTTTCTTTCAATTATGGTTGAAACTGCACGTTTAATGCTAATGGCTATAAAATTGGTTATCGGTTCGGTAGTAAATCCATTTGCGTACAATTAATGTCAATCTTATATGAGTTATAGGATAGAATGCGACTCATAGCAAAGGCACTTGCAAAGTTTTGAGAACTTCAGGTCTCCCAGTTGCTGAAGAACTACTCTACCTTCAGCTGAAAGCGTAAAGTTAACTTCAGACTATTGCTATTATAAACTGTGCGCCAATAAACGCGTTTCGAATTAAGAATTGTTTTGAAAATATGAAATTATACGGGATTATATGGAATTATTTTATTTTTCTAAATATATTTTTGTGTCAATTCATAATGATTGTACTAACCGCTCGACGTTGATAAGTTCTGCACGGTGTTGTTAAATTTGTCGATTTCACCTTGCCTCGGAGACAACTGATTATTGGATATTTCATCGTAAAGATTAGCATTTTGTACATTCTTCAAATGATCTGACTGCTGTTCCAAAATGTTGTAAAGTAACCATTTAATATCCGCAAATTCCTTGATCAACTTTTCTTCTAGATTCGCAAATTTTTCGTCCATTGTTTCTGAAAGCATACGTTTTTATAAACAATTATTAACTTTTTGTACATGAGTAGGCTTATCTTTATCCCAATAAAAAAATGTAATCGATCTTCTAAAGTTTAATTTTGCATTAAATATGTAGAAACAATTGTCTTTATTTGAATTTACAATTTTATTAGGTCAAAGAAGATGTGAAATTTTGTATATTTATTATCAGCTAATTTTTGCATTATCTAATATACTCGTTGAATTATCTGATATTCAGCTGGCCTGTGGAAAATCATGAAGCTTAAAAATTTAAACGCACAATATCTAGCAAAATTAAAAATAATTAAAATAATTTTTGGTTTTTTCTTATTTAAAAGTTTGGCGCTACGTCAAAAAAATATATATATATTGTGTATACTATGAAAAATTTATGTATAGTGATCTTTAGAATCAATGCATCAAATTGCTAATTTATTAATATACTAATCTTAATTTCGACTCACTAGCTTTACAACCTCCGGTGAGTACTGTTGTAACAGTGGCACGCGCGTTTGCGACCACATCTTCCGTTGCAATTTTGCAAGTTGTGTGCTGTGTTTCCGTCACATCGTCACTGGTGACATTGGCCTCAATCACGGCTAAAAATTGCATTAGGTATGAAAATATTGAATATATTATATTTCACTTATCGTTATGCACGTACAATTTCACTCACTTTAAAGTTCCACATTATTAGCTCATTTAAAAGACAAATATGTAAAAAAAACTGAAAAATATTTTAATTAAAAAATGTTTACAATATTTGTAAAATTTTATTCTTAACATTGAGTTTAATTAATTTTTATTATTTTGTTGTTTTGAATTAATATTTAGCTATCAAAGTTCAAATCTTGTTTCACAGATCATAGCATTACGAACTTTTTTTTAATAAATTGTGAATTATCATGTCGATTCTAACTGGAAAATCTACGTGCAAGATAAACAACATTTCGCACTTACGCATTTTCCGCAAAGATTCGCTTACACCGTCGCATACCAAATAGAGCGAACTGAGATAAAACAATGACACGGAATAACTCATAATCGCAGACATTTCGTTGCGCGTAAGCAGCACACGAAATCATTTCTGTGTGACCGAAATTTCGGTCGACCCAAACCATGACTTTCAACCGTTCCTTAAAAATAGATTTTATCGTCTTTTTACAGCTCGATGAATGCGCGCCAAAGAAAAATTTTATGAACAATTAACCCTAAGCGCCATTGTAACTACTCCGCCAAACAACAGTCAAAAGTTTTGAACTTGACTGTACGTAGAAAGATAGCTAGCCCCACCTTGTGGTTCTCTCTCGGTCCGCATCGTTATTCAGTGCCTACTTCAGATTGCAGCGCCGCCTAAGCGTAGTATAGCGGAACTGAAAGAAATCTACCGGCGATTATAGCGCCTTCTAACAAAATATGGCAAAACTAAAAAACTAGAGGCGATTGTAGCACCATGTGGCGGAATATATCAGAGTTAAAAAACCTACTAGCTAGGATTTTATCTAACCTAACTTAACCCTAATATTTTGTAGTGATCATCTTGGTTACGGACAGTTACAATCAGGGTGCAGTTGACAGTGACGCGGATTTCAAGTTACAATGCAAGACACAAAGAATCTGCAAGAATTCATGGAATTGGTTGGCCGACTAAAAGTGAGTGACAATACATTTATTTTTAAATCATTTTTATGTTTATATATTTAGAAGTACAAATGACCTCGTGCTATTAGTACATGGGCAAAAGACATGATTATGCAAAGTATTAGTTATGACACTTTTATTTGAAACTTTCGGTGAAAACTATAATGTAATATTGAAAGAATAAGAGGCAATAATGACAAAAAATAATACTGTTCCGAAGTTAGATAAATGTCCTAAAAAGAAATCTTGTGACACGTTGATATTTATCAACAAAAATTCTTTCTCACTTGTATTTGCCAACCTTATAGAAAGTATATACAAAATTGCGGTTACATACTGTCTCGTAACGATAATGATTTGAAATAGCGAGTTTGAGAAACGCGCGTTTTTTTGCTTTTATTTTGTTGATTTTGTTTGAACTTTTATGTTTCTCCTTTGTTTAAATGGATCAATGGTCACTTTTGAAGCTTTACAACTCTGAATAATTGGTATTAACTGATATATCAGATGATTGATACTAATAATTTGCCAAATACAGATTTATAGAGACACCTAAATAACTATAGAAGAGACAGAGAAATTTGTTTTTCTGCAAATTGATCCTGTAAAACATATGTTTAATAATCCTTACAATAAGATGTGTTTTTATTATTTATAAAGCTGCATGACAATAAAACAAATTAAAGCTATTAAATGATACCTATATAAAAATATTCTGATTAATCTCAGATTAGATTAGGTTGATATTGTTTAAGCATTTAATACTGATATTAATTACAAACATTTCGACCTTTGGTTAAATCTTCATCAATGTGAAAAGTTTACAATGTGTTGAGGTAATATGAACCAGAAATTGTATGCATTTTTTACTGATGTAATGATCTTTTACTGATAATATGAGTTTTAGCTCTTAAGCCTTGATACTCTTTAAATTTATATTTTCTACATTGTTTTTTATATATTTAAAAATTTACAGTTTTAAAACATAAAAAAATAGTATAAGTATATGTATATGTAACATATCTCAATTTAAATGCTGCTTATATATATTTCAGCATATGAAAAGAGAAGGATGGGTGAAACGGAATATAACTGAACCTGAGACAATTGCTGGACATATGTATCGAATGGCAATGTTATCATTTCTAGTGGATGGGAAAGAAAATTTAGATAAAACCAAGTAAGATAAAGTATTAACAAGGCATGAATTTTATAACTACTTTTCAAAAATCCCGTCATTAATGATACATTAGTAATTTATTAATATGGTATTTTAATTTACAGAATAATGCAAATGACTTTAATTCACGATCTAGCCGAATGCATTGTGGGAGATATAACACCTTTCTGTGGTATTTCGCCAGATGAAAAACACAGGCGAGAAGATGAAGCTATGGAAGACATTTGTAAATTGCTTGGTGATAAGGGACCTGAAATACTACAAATGTTTCGGGTAAAAATATTAAAAAATTTCTAATTTAATGACATTTTAATTATATTTTATCGATGTTTTTCTTGTTCTAAAATTTAGGAATATGAAAAGCAGGAATCTCCCGAGGCACAATATGTAAAAGACTTGGATAGACTGGATTTGTTGATGCAAGCATACGAATATGAGAAAAGAGATAATATTCCGGGAGAACTAAACGAGTTTTTTGTCGCGATTAATGGCAAGATCAGACATCCTTTTATCAATAAAATTGCCATAGACATAACCGAGGAGAGGGATAAGTTGTGTCGTAATTCAAATGCCGCAAAATAACAAAAATTATAGGTTATAGTAAGAACGAAAATGTGGGAAAATAAAATTTCTAGATAGTGATGATATTTTAAGCGTTAGATCAGTTACCATGTCGCGTGTGAAATATTAAGCAATTTTAATGGGTTTAATTTCATATTAATATAAAAAATAACGTATGATTTTGATATGAAAAATGTTGACAAGATTACTTATTTAATTCATTCGAACATTTATTGCTTCTGCAATACAGATTATATAGATAAAATTTTAATATATGTGTACTTTGTATTTTGACATTGAACTCTGATGAACTACTATAGTTATGCTTTTTTATTTAAACTATAGAATGTAAAGTGTGCATATATATTTTACATATTCCGATTATGTTATTTATTGCAATTAATATTTAAGTAAAGCGAGTACCAAATATTACTTTTTGAACCCTATGTGATTTATGAAGATAAAAAGTTGTATTATTATATGAATAATCAAAAAATATTGATATATTGTTGGTATGAGTATAAGAACAAGATCTGCCTAAAACGGATTTAAGAGATCAAAGAGAGAATAATCTAATATTTATAAAATGACAAAATGTTTTATAAATATGAGCTCTTAACTTAAGATACTTTATTTATATATTTTTGGCTCATCCACCAATAAATTAGATACCAATCACAGCAATAAAACAGTGAAAATAAAACTAGCGATTTCGATTAGATACATTAGTGTACATTAGTGCAAATTAAAATACATAAATTGCAGAGTTATTTTAATATTAATTTAATATACGCATAATATAATGAGATGTAATCTGCGATGTAAAATGCAGAATAGTTTTTGTATTTTTTCGGGATTGGTATATAGTGGAATATATATCAGAGAAAAATGTTTCATATTTTTAAAATTTAGATTAAAATGTATAATATATATATATAGTTTTTAATTTGCATACTAATGCGTCTAGTCGAATTGCTATAACACACGCGACTCCAGCACAGGTGACTTGAACTAGATTCTTCTTTTCATTTATTTTTATTTATCATGATAGATATCGGTTTTATGGAATGAATAGAGAAATATGATTACTGCCTTTTTTTGTGATTGTTACCTTTACATTAAAAGGTACATGTCAAGATCAAGATTCCTGCCTTGTCAATAAAATATAACTTGTTGACAATTCTAGTAATCGATTATAATTGATATCTGTTCAATCTAGTATTTAGAAATAATCATTTATGTTCGTGTATTTACATATTTTACTCTTTAATGTAATTATTTTTCTTATGTAATGTCAATTTTGTACTTTGATGAATTTAATAATATGTTTTAATATATATCTCTCACAAAAATGTATGTTATTTATTTTTCTATGTCTCCCATTTTTCATAACATAACATTTAACATAAATTGAATTGTATTGGAAAATACTTATAATGAAGTTTCTAATTTAAGTATTTTTGCAAACAAATATATGAACTTAATCCTACTTTACATAAATACATACAATAATGTGTCAATTTATCCATGCAGGAGAATGTTAAATTATATTAAACTATTAACCTAATATATCTGTTTCACAATCAATATCTACGTTCAAATGTAAGAATTGTCATTGTATAAGCAATTATTGTGTAGAACATATATATTTTTAATATGTGCAAAATCAGAGTTTGATTAATTTTTATATACATGCGTGGATAATAATAGTAGTTGTATGTTGTATGTGGAAAGAAGGAATATATGAGTGTACACATACACATTTAATAATCGGATAGGATTTGGTTTCATGAATGATATAGAAAGTTGGCTTTGTAAAGCCAAGCTTTGTTGCACAAGAACAGATTGCAAGCAATTTGATGTAGACATTACTGTAGTTGTGTATTTTTATATTGCAAAGAATAATCACTTTTTACCGCGTGTAAATGATTTAAACAGGTATGTAGATTTTTAACAAAGAAAAAATATTTTATTAAATATCAAAGTTCTCAATTATATGCATTTGTTTAATAAATAGCGCCCAGAATGTCGAATAAAATTTAATATATTTATTGTAACTGATATAATTAAAATTTAATTAATATTTTGACAGAAAAAAAATTAAATAATTTGTTCAATTTACTTGTTTAATTAAAACTTGGTAAATTAAAGATTGGAATTTTAACTCGGAGACTTGGAAATTTTTTGATACAAGGTTTTCACTTCCGCGCAAGTCACTGGGCATAATTGTGTATCGACGACGTTGCAGCCGTATCGATCGAGGTATTTACCTGGTTACCTGGCGGGGAAAAACCAGAAAAACGACTAACAATCTGCCAAATTTATTACGGTGGTCAGTCGTTTACTGCGTCTCGTAAAAGTATATCGTTGTGGAACGTGACGATAACATAATATACAAAACGTGCGGAGCACATGGCGCAACCGGCAAACGACACATCCGTCGCGACGATTTTGTCAAGACTCGACACGTCTGAGTTTGACTACAAGAAGTTCCGAGCGTTTTGTGTCGAATTGTTCGACACGAATGAGATCAAGGAGCACGAATGGAGAGTACGAGAAATCTTCGAGTTGTTTGACGCAAACGCGGACGGCAGATTGCATGGTCAGGAATTGGATAGGTAACGCGTGCGCATTATTATCCTTCTGTAAGGGCTAAAATAAATTCGAAATAGTTAGATAAAATAAAAATCGAAAAAAACATGAAAAAGAGATTAAAAATTTCTGGAATTTTATAAGAAATATTTCTTATTTTCTATACAAATTTCTATTAATCAAGGCGATGTATGTGCTATTCTGATAAAAATTTACTAAAGATTTTTAGATATATTGCTTTTAAAAATTACACTAATTCAAAATATAGCTGAATCTGTCTTCTTCTGTTTTAATTTTAATATTCTGACATTTCTTCTGATAAAAGTAAACAATTAATTTAAATTTAAATTTTTTAGTTGGATTTATTGTTCTTATACATTATATCGCTACAGTTAACTTTATAAAATTGAAATTGAAATTGAAATTGAAAGACTTTTCTAAGATATAATTAAAGTATATAAAATGACGTAAGAAGTTTTTGCCATATTATCTTAATGTATTCTAGAATACTCACGGCGCTATTAATGGCTTAGCAATTAAATATTTATGAGATAGACTTATCGTATCATTATATTTATGTTAGTGACTGTTGGTTTAAAAACTTTGTTAATCGAAATTTTATTCCGTTAAAAAGTTATTTAATAAATGTCAAGTTGAACCAAAAGTAAAAGTTTTAAACTGAAAGTGTAAAGTATTATTCACGCTTATATCAAAAGGTATCAGATAATCATTCGGTACACTCCGCGCAAAAAATAAATTGGTTAAGAATAAACAGGATTTCTTTGGCAAAGTACATAATATTATTTATGCGTATAAAAGCTTTCAAGTATAATTATTTTAACATATTACATATTATGCATAATGCTGACACCGAAATGCAAATTGTCATTCAACGGAAGCAGATTCAATAACAAAGGTGATGGATATTCAAAAGAGTTTCAAAAGAGAATATTTTCTTTTTATATTTCCATACGTCTTAATATTTTTTAGTCGGTATCTTTAAATTCTTTTCTTTCTTTCATATTTCCTTTATCTCTTATATAAGCGTGCGTTAAAAAGTTTTATTGTCTTTTTTTGTTATATAACGTTCGTTTCAACATTATTTATATCGTAAAGTCATATCAAATACATAAAAAAATATCTATAAAGAAATTTAATATCCTTGACATTTCTAGCGTCACATCATATAAATAATACAAAGCAATATTGTAATATATATAAATTAATATTTATATTTTCTGTTTATCATCTTGTTTTCGCGTGTGTGATATTTATATTTATTTACGCGAGATTTAAATATACTAAAATTAATATTTATATTTTCTATGCCAGGTCATGCTGTGTTTTCGTGTGTGTGTGATATTTATTTACGTGATTTTAAATATATTAAAATAGTTAAATGTTAACAATGTTATTGTTATGTAAATTGACCGAAAATTTAATGAAAAATTTGATCTCAATCTGTTAATATTGCTAACATAATGCTTACTGGATATATATATATTATACAGATGTCGGAAATGGGCAGTTGCGACTTTAAACCCTGTAAATATTTTACTGGTCGTTGACGTACAGAATGATTTCATCGACGGTACATTAGCTCTTCGAAAATGTGGCTATGAGCAGGACGCAGCGGAAGTAATAGAGCCGATAAACAGGCTTTTGAAGGACGGTCGTTGGGATAAGGTAATGTACACACAAGATTGGCATCCCGAGAACCACATCAGTTTCTTTGAAAATCTGGCGGCACGTAATCTTCATTCGGAATCTAAGGTATTTTAGATAAATTAAATAGATATCCTTGATTGGTAAGATAGTTTGATAAAACATTTCTTTTGATAATGAAGAATATTTAGAATTTAGTGTTTACAGAATTTACAGATTACTGTAAATCTCTGAATTGTTGAAAATTTTGATTTTAAATCAGAATCTAAAGTAATCTCTCTTTATAATTCGAAATAGGTTACCAAGAAAACGGCACAACTCTTTGACGCCGTCGTCTTCTCGCAACCTTATGTAACACAAATACTTTGGCCAAAGCATTGCGTTATGGACAGCTGGGGTGCTGAATTTCACAAAGACCTTCTTGTCTTACCTTCTGCGCACCGGGTAATAGACCTATTTCACATAGAAGAGATAAATGCTGGAAAATCATTGGGCCGAACATTTGATTAGTCTTTCTATGCGAATTCTAATTCTTTGGAACTGCTTAATAAATAATGTATTGCTAATTCTTACAAAAAGCAATTACGGGTATTTATCAAGTTTTTAATAGTTGTTATTCTTCTGCAAATCATTAAAAAAAAATAAATTTCTATATCTTATTGAATATTTTAATTACAAATTACCTCATTGTTATTGAAGTGTTATTTAATTTTTTTAGTTATATAAAGGTCGCAACCCGGATAAAGATTCGTATTCGGTATTCGCTGAAAAGGATGCAGATGGTACCTCAGAACTTGAAAAGATTTTGTCTACTATGAACGCTGTGAATTTGTTCATTTGTGGTATCGCTTACGACGTATGTGTGAAAGAGACATGCTTGGACGGTCTACAGCTGGGTTATCCATTAGCAATCGCAGACGATAGTTGTCGTGGCGTCAAACCCGATGACATAAAGATTGCTAAAAATCTAATTATCGAGAAGGGCGGCCTGATAACAAGCAGCGATCACATTCTGTCCATAGTGAATGAAGGCAAGCGAAGCTTAGTGATGGCGCATCATACTGCAAGACAGATTTAAAGAGAATGTCAGCTACAAATTTTGTACAAGTTCTACAAATATAAGACAAAATGTTTAAACCAAATTTATTTGGTGAAGGTTAGTTTTTCTGTCTAGATATTTTTAGAAAGTATTTTTACCTAGACACTTTACGGGGAATAAAGTTATTTTATTGTATAAAACGAGTTTTTTTTATTTCATACTTTGTTAAATTACGTTGAAGTAAAATCGTACACAATAAAATTGATGATATCAATAAATATATATTTATAAAAAAATTATCCTTTATATTTATTCAGTTATTCCACTTTTATCCGCCATTGAATGTACTTAGTTGTCCTTATCAATCAACGATCGTGCTGTCTTTTCAATCATGTTCGCCGATTCATCGTTAACCGTCAATTCGCAAATATATCTTTGCCTTAAACCGCAATCTTCGCCTCTGTAGAAGTAAATCTTCGACGATGGGTTAAAAGTTAATTTTAAGCACCTGTAATTAAAAGAATTATTTATAACGCATAATTATTTTATATTGATTTAACACGAGTTTTTCTGCTTTTCACCTTAGGACCTTGCCAGATATATAAACCGGTTTTCAAATCGTAAAGTCCACGACGAAAATTCTTAAATAAGACAACGCGTTTAATCTTGAACGTAGAAAATTCTGACAAATTTTTAAGGCTCTATACTGTTGTAATTTTTGAATTCGTGAATAGCAAAATTAAATTTCTTGCAAATCTATAATTATTTTTTATTTTATACAGCATGAAAAATAAATCATCATGCAATATCAAAACTTTTAATATATGTTTATACTAATTATATCTACAGGGTGTTTCATAATTTCCGTGCCAACACCCGTATGCGGGTAGAGTGCGGTAAACTGGAATAGAAAAGTCCTTTACCGTTTTGCAATTTTCACAATAATAATTGAAATATTAATTAAAAAGGATTCACGAATAATCGCGCGTTGCGCACGGCTAGACCATGGACTGTACACTCTAGGCGTGACAGCAACGAGGATCGCACGGTAACGAAAAATAACAAGGCATGACAAGAGCAGAAGTAAGACATGTTATTTTTTGTTGCCGTGCGAGCCTCATTGCTGTCACGCTTAGAGCATACAGCCCACGGTCTAGTCACGTGCAACACGCGATTAATCGTCAATCCTTTTAAATTAATATCTCAATTATTATTGCGAAAATTACAAAACGGTAAAGGACTTTTCTATTCAGTTTACCCGCACACAAGCGTTGGCACGGACATTATGAAACACCCTGTATATCTAAAAATATTCAATGAATCATACTAACCTGCCATCACCAATGACGGGCTGTTTAGTATCTTGGTGAATTGGTCTAGCACTGTTGACCCAAATCCATATAAGTCCTGGATTTAAGCCTCCCGTCCAGAAATTCTTACCCCTTAAATTTGAGTCCGACAACACACCAGCGATTACGTCCTGGCTCTCTTCGATTGTGTCAAATTCGACCAGATGCCCGCCCATTCCACGGCAAAGACTGGACGATGATTTCCAATTGAAATCGCGATTGCTGAAGTGGTAGCAATTTTTGCCCATTCTCGTGTAATTGGCGGGGCAGGGTTCTGAAAAAGCAATAACAAACAAAAATGACATAAATTAAATGTGTTAATTTTATAAATAAGAAAATTTACATTCCGTTTTTCTTCAGTTTAATTAATTTCTTTTCAATATTAAGTAGTGTGAAATAATTATTAATTTAATATTGAATAGTGTGAGAAGAAAAAAATGTATTTTAATCATGTTGATTTATTAGGTCATTAATTTCTCATATTCAATGAATTTTCATGCCAAAGTTAAATTACCTTTCATTTTATTGTTATTATTATTTGCAGCGAGAAGGTAGTATACCAATTCTTCTACTCTTCTTATTCGTTTTTCTAGATTATCCACTCTGTAGGACAATTTTTCGATACCACCTGTCAAAAATTTTCATTTAAGATTCTCTCTTATAATAATCATTGTTAGTAATTACTTAATAATTGTATAAACAATTATCAGAAATATTGGAAAAGTATTTTTTATAAATCGTACTGAGTAAATAGAGGTCGGTTTCAGAGATGTCTCTTTTATTTGTCGTGGAGATTTTCGTCGACACGCTCACAGTCTTATCACCAACTTTCATCGCACGTGCAGCACGAGAATTGTTGAGGGTAGTGACCCAAGTTTCAAGGGCCTCTGCCCATGGACCATGAGTTACTGTGGCAGTCGATGAATCCACCTGGGATGACGATGACGGCAAAACTATAACAAAATTATAATGAGTATATCAGAAGATTCAGTTTGTAATAAAATTTTATTTCATCGTTAAAAATTTAATAATCTAATAATATAGTATAGCAATACATAAGATAAAAAATTAATCGTTACAATTCTTTCGTATGAATTATTGTTAAAACATAATGCATAAGTTAGAATACGTACCAAGTACATTAGTGACTGCTGCTAACGTGACAAGCGTAATCAAAGATAATTGCGCTGCGGTTTTGTTCGTCATCGTGATTCTGGCATCGAGGAAGAAATATAATGCAGATGAGATATTTAAACCGACAAGAATTGAAAGGCCGATGTTTAACCTTCCGCGAAATGTAAAGTAAGCGAAATAAAGCCACGCCGTTTTTCACTTGAAACCGATTCGCGGTATCTGACTTTCTCCAGGAAAGTTTACAGCATATCAAAATAGTAAAAACCCGGATGAGTGTATTGAAAAATACCGATGTGCGCTCATGACTGGATAATATGCGCATGACTAAATAATGTAACGAACTTGCACAACAAAAATGTAATTTCGATAACGTAAATGTTAAAAGAATTTATATACACTCAAAAAAATATTTCGCTGATGTAGTTAGATTTCTAGATATCGCAACAAGAATGTATCGCTATTTTTCGTATCTGTAAAAACATTGTTTGTCACATATAGAATTTATAGCAGTAATGTTCTAGCAATAGCTTCTGAAAAATTTAGGTACCATTGCTAAATGTTATTCATTGCATGATCTAACACGTGATTGATCTTATATAGATAGGCGCTTTAGAGAAACTTTCTTTTTAAAGTTCACAAACAATACAGATATATATTCTGTTTCTGTCATCTAAACTGATTAAGTAACTACATATGCAATATCACAACAGTTGCTAATCATTTATCTGTTTTAGTTAATTTTTTACACCTAGAAAATTTTAGCTATTATTGCAAGATCATTTTTTTGAGTGTACTTTTATAATATGAAGCATTTGATCACTCAATTTAAATTTAATTATGATAATCGTTTTCAATAAATCATGTAATATTCCATTATCGTAAATCTTTTTGTAAATAACATCTTGCGATTCTGAAAAAGTATTTTTTCCGAGAAAAATTGATTGTTTTGAAATGCATTTTGTTTGATGCATAACAGATGTTGATATAAGATGGAAATTACAGAAATTATCATAATAAATGACTGTTTTACGATCCTCTTTTAAAACCAATTACCAATTGTTTTTGTGAAAATGACTAGTGTTTCTTTGGAATGTCAATGCATACAGACATATATTCTCACGTGACACAAACAATGCTTTCTCGTGTAGACTGCAGCCGTGTTATAACACTTTTTAATTAAATAAATTCAAAGAAAATATCAGAATATTATAGAACTGAAATAAAATTAAACATTAAAAATCTTTTAAATTATACTGTAATCTACTACATGTTGATAAAAACCTTCATTTGTGCAAAAAACAAAATAATTCTAAAAGAAATATATAATATATAGTTATAATTGCATATTTATATATTTAGAAAATTTATATTTAAAAATTGCAAAATTAAAAAAAAAACGCAAGACAAAGCTCTTTATAGATTTTTTTTATAGATTATGTAATTCATATAATGTAAAAAATGTAGAGATTTTCACTCACTTATCCTGCACGGAACAGTTGACTTTTCACTGGAAATTACAAGTATTCCACGCCCAATCGTATGTCACGGACGACTGAGAAGAAAAGATTCGAGGACGATGCCGGAGTCGCAGCCTAGACCTCTCTGGGTCACTTTCTCCCCACCTTAGAAGTCAAGTCACTTTCTTCGGTAAGCTTACCTCAGGTGGGATTTCATTAGCGGTCATGATGACAGTTTCGTTCACCAAATATCAAAGAAGTGAATGTATTTTGCATAATAACATATTATAGAACACATCGGCAAAGTATTAAAATGATTTCATGATTACACATGAGATCCGGCGTAATAATATGCTAAATATAGTGATAAGTTTAAAGTAATCTTTGTGATAAATCAATTAAAAAAATTACTAAACGTTAATTTTCCCTCAATACCACATCTAGCAATGTTGCAATTAAATGTTTTTTATATAAAATTAATTATCGTTATTGGAAATTGATATAAAAAAACATGTTTACTTAAAAAATATTAAAATCTAATAAATATTGAAAGTAATAACTTCAAAAACCAATTTGTGTGTAAAATTTGATTCAAGATGCATTTTTCAGCGATTTTATATCTAATTTCTTTTAGTACGGCATAAAAATTAGTTAAGCGTCTTCATGAATTTCAAGTCTCACGTGAATGAGACTTAATTCACTTATTTACTCAGTACTTGTTGTGCAAATAATTGCGAAGATCGACCTACTAACATAGTTTTCTCGTTGTATTCGAATACCGGTGGTTTCAACAAAGTGCAAACGCGATAACTTCAACCTACTAATAGAGGTCATTTATGCAACCAACCATTCTATTTTCTTATGATAACATAATTCCCGTAGACTGTAATTTATTGTTTCAGGTAAAAGGCTTTATTTCTACTAAAGATTCATTTACGTTCTAAATCTTCATGACATTTACACCATACCACATTGAATTTTTCTCTCTTCCAAAGATCAAGATGAGATCTTTCTAGAGAGTTTAGTGTAGAGAAATTTGTGGTAATGCGATGTAATAAACCCGAGAATAATATTTTATACGTAAAAATAAAACGTAACTTATGATTTTGTGAATAAAGGAGTTAAAGTTCGCAGTAACTATACGAGACTCTCAATATTGCTCGCGTGTCAATAATATAATTCTAAGAAATGTTTTATTATATTTTTCTAAATATTAGTGATCTATGCAACATATCTCAGATTTAAAGCCATTTTCCTATTTAGCATAATCTCTTTCTCTTCTTATTTTAATATCGAACAAATTAAATTTTCTCAAACAGAAATCTGCAGTATTTTTTTCGTATTTGATTGTATATATTTATATTTCTAGTAATTTCAAATAATTACTTTCTACAATCGAAGATCGATGTTGCATCGAGTAGATAACGGATGTGATCCGTTCGAGATCACGCGAGTTAACGCTATGTTACGCAGGATAACACAGGATAACACAGATGTTCCGTGGACCGAATACGCATAAGGTCACATTCGTCACATTGTATTGCAATGCATGGAAAGTTCCTTTACAGAATTCCGATATCAACGAGACTTTATTTAACTAAACAGATCAGGACTTACGGCTATCATCCGCCATTGAGATTGGAATGTGCGCCCTTTACAAAATAATCGATTGTTAGAAGTACACGGTGAGATTAAGCCTTTCGTTGCCGACTTGATTATCTCCGGTTCGCGTTTCTGCCGCGACCTCGACGCTGTCCACAGTCTGGAAAACAACAAAAGCTTCAATTTGCATTGTCATTTATGTATCTGCTTTTTAAAATCGTAAAGTTTGTATTTGAGCAAACGTGTTTTTTCTGTATGTGTAATACGTAAATATATCATTTAAAGTAATCCGCTAATTAGATTTCACACACATTAATTTAAAAGCTTATATTATTTAAATTATTAACTTTAATTTGTTCAATAATTTCAAAAAAATTTCTAAGCAGTTCTATTCGGACAAAACCGACTCGTGAGACATAAAATTTTCCTTCTGATAAAAATACCAAAGATATATCTTTTTTTTTTAAACAAGAGATCTACACATTTATTTGTAAGATAATTACCCTGTCGTCGTCGTCCCAAGATAGTTTTTTAATTCTTGGCAGGACTGAACTAGCAGGCCACGCTGGTACCAGAGAGTCGGGAGGATCTCCCGAATAATTGGAAGAATCGTGAGATGCAGCATCCAAATTGGTTCTAGCACTCAAATCGTTCATATTCTGCACTAGTCCACCAATGTTGGGGATGTTTGAGGTGGCTGATAAAGCCGGCGGATTCGGCGCGGGCGCCACTTTATGTCTGGCGTATAATGGTAATTGTCTTGCAGACGCTATACCTACAAGATGGAATATAAATGTATTGTTTTTACATCGACATGGATATTGTAAATCTTTGCTAATAGAAATCTAATTTTACAAAAACATTGTAATTTCAAATCGCTTACAAGAAATAGTATTTCTTCTAAGAAAACGTTACACTTTAATAACTAAATTATACAATTTTCATGATTTAATAAACAAAAATTGTAAAAAAGCATAAAATTATAAAATTAAAATATGTTGAATAAATATACGCCAAGCATACTTTTTAAAATATCGAGAAAAAAAGAGATTTGTTCCACTTATATTTATAATAACATACTTTTAATCGTAGCGCCATACGAGCTCTCATTAGTTTCTCCGAAGACGGGATTATCGATATCATTACGGTTTCCAGCATTATCATTTTCGTCGCTATTGTGATGTCGATCTCGCGGACTCTCCAAGGTATCGTGGATAATACTGGCACCTAGCACCTGCGGCGTCGGGCTCAGAGCCGATGGAACCGGTGATTTTTCACGATATCCTGTTCCTACAGAGCTGACTGAACTACCGCTTTTGGGCCTTTTGCTTAAACAGAAACCAAATATGTCTTAAATTCCTCGTTCAAACAAAAATTTCTAAATTTTCAATATTTTAACATATGTGAATTTATGCTCAAGACATTTACTCACTGTTTATAAATGTAAAGAATGAGAATAAGTATAACGACTCCAAGAAGACCCAAAACTGCACCAAAGATAGCAACTAATAACACACTGCTGCCTAGCCAAGCGGGTGCAGCTCTCGCAGCGATCGGCAATGAACTCGGTATGTGGACGGTTACCGGAATCTCATTCGAGCTGAAGAAATTGCAGATTAATAAAATGATTATTATACAACAATGTAATCACAGAGAAATGTATGCATACCTTTGTACTGGATATCCGGAGTCGGAAGCTATCGCCATAAATTGAGCCTTAGATCTATTAAATGTACCTAGTGATCTTAGCACTAAATCTCCATTATCTCTAACTTCAAAGTACCTGGAAGTGATTTATATAATTGTTAAAAATAATTATAATTATTTTTCGTAACGAACAGACATGTCTCTTATTAACAAGATTTTATATATATATATATATTAGAATTTAGATTAAATTAACTTATAATTTTTATCTTACGTATAACTTTACTTTCATTCAAAACTTATACCTGGAATCTTGTCCTATGAGAGATATACGGACTTTGTCGCCTTTGTCGCCATCAGCTACTTCCAGCCTTCCTGAAAAGTTATTTTAGAAATTCGTTTTTCAAATATCGAAAAATGGAAATTAAGTCGATATTTAACATAAGAAAAAGAACACTTACCAATAATAGAGCCTTCTCTCGCTGAATGAGCGTGTAATATGTATTCGGAATACCGGAATCGCGGTCCCCACTCGTTCACATTTTCTACCGAAATGTTCACGTGTGACGTATCATTCTGAAATAAATTCATACATTAAATAACATTATTACGCATATATAATTAAAAATTAAAAAAATTTAATGCTAAAAAATAATACACACATTGTAACCGTCGGTAACATGAACTTGGAAGTAATGCTGATCTTGTAGCTCGTAATCTAGACTGCCATTCAGGATCAAATCCCCAGAATTAGTGATGGTGAAATTCTGTAGGTCCACCCTTGCGCCCGACAGCCAGTATCTTAAATTCTAGGAATTAAAGGCTATATTACGCTGTTATGTGTCGCGATTTATTTGCATTCTCATCGCCAAAGCGAATTTTTCTTCTACTTACAGGATCAACTTTGTTGACTTCCGCCCTTAAAAGAACGCTTCCTTTCTTTTCATCCTCCGGCACGCTCTTCTGATAATTCTTTAGCACGAATTTCACGGGTAATCGACCACCTAGCATTCACATAAAAATGTTATTTCAATTTTTTACTTGACATAAGATTTAATTTATGCTAATTATAGGTGCATAATAAATGTTCAAGTGTGCGTGTTTGGACAACATTAAACATAGCTAGGAAATTAAATTTACTCAAATTATTATAAAAAAATATATAAGAGCTACAAAAATAAGAAAGATGCGATAGATATTCCATAAATAATATAAAAATAATCTTTTTCCATAAAAAACGTATGTTTAATTATAAATTGGCTATATATTTTTCATGTAATTATAAAATACAAATTACCTGCTGTTGGACCAACGCTATAACTATCTTCTCGCGAAACAATGATTGAAGCGAGAGTAGATTTGTCCGGATTATCTACTTGGGTAGCCTATTTAATGAACAATATTATCATTATTACATTTTTATACCCATAAAAAGTTTAATTATAGTAATTTCGTTTTTACCTTAATGATGATAGTTGCGGGCGTTATTAGCTCCTGATCCTGCAGCGATCGTATCATAACGATTTCAGCAGTCTCAGGATTCAAATCCAGAAAAGTTAAAATCGCGCCTTGAATTGTATATTTGATTCGCGAGTTAATGCCAACATCCTGATCTACGGCTTTGATTGCAGCAGGCCATACTTTCAGCGCTTTTCTCTAAAGATTAAGAAATTAAGTTAATTTCTATTAAATTTCTATGAATCATGTTTCATAAAAACGATATTAATACAAAATAATGATAAATAATGAAATGTGTTTTTAATTCTATTTTCTATTGGATTCAATTAAAGATTGAGATAAATTTGTTACTAAGAAACTGAGTCGTAAACTTACTCCTTTCACGTGACGCGGTACAGTGACTTTGTATTGTTCAGTCAAAAAAACTGGATTCTGATCGTCGGCATCGATAACATTGATGTATAACGTTGTTGTCGACGATCGGGGTGGTTCACCTTGGTCCTGTAAAAATAGATTTTTGCCATTATTAAAGTGTTGTTAAAAAAATTAGCATTATTCTAAATAAATATGTAGATATAACTAAACTATGGCACAGAAAGTGTTTCTACTTTCTTTTTATTGAAGTATGATTACACAAGCGTGAGAAATAGTCAGAGGAAGCATTGTTCGATCAAAATCTTCACTTGTTCAATGTTGCATATCGATGCGCACGAATCATTCAATCAATTTACTTGAATCCGTTACGACCTATTTAGGATATTTAGCAATGTTAAATTCCGCTATCAATCTCGTTACAAATCTCTTAGATTGATTATCCTAATTTCTTGTATTTCTTTTTTTAAAAGAAACGACTTTTTGTTAGTTTTCTTTTATTTACTTTTGTGCAATTTGTAAAACTTGTTTTTGTGTTGATTATAAAAGATTTAATGACAATGAAATCTGTGTATTGTGCGTCTGTTAATGTACAACTTGCCATTTATATATATATATATATATATGAAGAAACTTACTTGTGCACGAATACCAATGGAGAAGTTAGTAAGAGTTTCATAGTCCAGCCGTTTTCTTAGCACAAGAGTGCCTTCCAAAGGGCTCAAGAAAAAAAAGTAGTCCTGTATATAAAAATAAAAATTAGTGCAATGCTTCAAATAAACTATATCGGATCCATATTTCTTTTCAAATAAAATGATTTGCGCAAATTCAATAGTAAATTAAATAAAATATAAAAATGTGCAAAGTAAATTGCAGTTATATGATAAATACAGAAATATATATGAAATATTCAATGAAATAAATAATTTAGCTATACAAATATTTATAAAAATTTACCGAATAAGATCCTGGAAGAACTGAATACTGCACATTCGAATTTAGCCCTGATTGATCAGCATCGACAGCTCGGACTCCTTGCAAAACTCTCGTACCGACTTCGGTAACCTGAGATATTTATATTGTGTCAAAGTTAAAAAAATATTGAAACGCGCGACGTATAAAACTAAAGAATTTTCTTACTTCGGAAATATTCAGTAGATAAGGCGCATTCAAGAATTGCGGCGAATTGTCATTCGTATCGAGCACTCGAATGTTCACTGGTATGATGAATACCTGTGAATTTCAAAAATAACTGGTTGAAAAGTACAAGCTAAAATAAAATTAATTTATATTTTTAATGTTTAAGATTTTCAGCAAAGTTTGATCAAGATAAAAATATTATGTTCTTCACTTTTTGGCATTTAACGCAATTCCGTTGAATTATCTCACCGGATCTAAGGTATGCTTTCTCTCGCAGATGACATTGATGTAGACACTGGCTGGTCCCTCGATGCCCTCCTTGTCAAGCTTTCTGACGAGCGTCAAGTTCTTTGAGTACGACAAGAGAGTAACAGGACTATCGTTTTCCTGCAAGCTCAGTTGGATGTCACCTAGCGAACTAGGATCACCTAATACCCCGAGGACCCCCACAGTGTCGCCGACAGACAGATCCTCCCTGACAAAGAGATCAACTGCGGTTGCTTCGTTCTCCAGAAAGCATCGTTTGTCTCGAGTCACTGTAAAAGTCGAGCAATCATTAATATGCATAACGTAAGCCACGCGTAATCTGTACGTTGAACCAGGAATTAAATATTGTTTGAGTAAAAGAAGTTTGGTTTCCGGACTGAAGAGAAAGGATCGTAATAGCAAATTTAGATGCAAATTAGATCTGTATATACTTTTAGAAAGCAGGCATTAATATTATTCTTGCAACAAAAATAAATGAAATAAAAAAATTGATTAGTTTTGGACTGATAATAATACATTTTTACTTCTTTTCTTGTCTGTCAGAATTTTTTATAGCATTTTATTTTTATTTATGATATTTTAATTGTTATATTTATAATTAAATGTTGTTCAAAATGTTTTAGAATATGTACTATAAAAGTTTCTCTAATTACATTATAAAATATATTGTAAATTTATGTTACTAAAAATCACGTGAACAAAAATTCACATAACTTATAATAGAAGTGTATCAGTTAAACCGTTGAGGTTTCAGGAGTTTCCGGTCGAAATCGAACAACCGGTTTTCGGTGCTGCACAATCTTTTGGGTCGTAATAGTGATGAGAAGACCGTGGGACAATGATCTTGTGAGAAACTGTCTTAACTGTCGCTAACGGTATACGAGATCGATGCGGATGATCTCTTTTCAATTGATTGGCCATTGATAAGAAGAACCAAACAAATTGTACAACAGAATGTTGTATTCCGACAATTATTTCAATACAAAATATAGTAATTCCAAAAGAATACATTCCACGAAAGCGTGTAAAAACTTTTTTAACATTAAATTTAATTGACATTTTATTTAAAAGAAGCACACGTTTTATTAGAAATTAACAATTTTTAAATATATATTAAAACATCAACTCACAATATTTCTTGAAATGTCTTATTTTACTTAATCATCGAAAGTCTGTTTAGTTTTACTTTTTCTGAGATCAGATGTTATATCGTGCAACACAATGCCTATTTTATAATGTACGATCCTTAATGGTAAGAGGGCATGCACTTTTATGCTTTTAAGTAAAAGTGACATGCAAGGAGATAGTTCTCTTCTATCACTGCTTATAACAGTAAATAACGACTACTTTACACGCGCGGACTAGGTAATGCTTGCACTGTTAATATCCAGTTCCTCATAATACTCGCTGTCCAGTTATTAATTACGGGTGTTTTAATGACTGCAAACGATCCTGCACAAATACGTGCATTCCAGATACGCTATGTCGTAATGTAGTTAAGTTTACCGTAAACTTTTGACGTAACTTGGCAATCTAGAGCGTAGTAGAAGTATGCAAAGCAAAAATACCTTTTCAAATTGTTAAAAATGTAAACGAATAAATAGTTTTCAGCAAATATGTGTAAGAAACAAAATTCTGCGTATAAAAATATAAAATATTCTTAAAATATCTCTAAATATTTTTATATATAAATTTTCTGTAAAATTTCAGATTTTGTATTTCAATTTAAGCAACTGTACAATCTTTTTATGAAAAATTATTATTACGTTTAAAAAATAAAAAACGTAATCCCTAAGAAAAAGTTATAAAAATAAATATTATGTAATATTATGTACAGTAAATATTGTACGCGTGCTATTATTATTCTTGTATGTAATAGCCGGTTAAATCATGTATGCATAAGAGGTGCATACAAGGGGCGGCGAGATCGTCCGTCTAACAGCAGTGTTTTAGTTGCCCTAATGCTGGTATAAATCATGATAGCCGCTTTTGCGCCTCGTTTAGCTATCACGGCTGTCTCGTCGTTAAAAATCTTCAAGTCCAGTTTATGAATAGTTATATCGATTATCATAATTACGCGTGATCTTTCGAGGAGCACAATATCAGAATAATTTAGCATTTTACGTGTCTTTAGATTGCCATTATTTTTGTTACTTTCATAATAAGTCTGTAATTAGTCGAAAAATAAAATTAAATTCAAAAAAATACATAAAAGTTCCGGTTTTATGTTTCATGTTGTCATATTCGGTCGGATGTTACGGATTTAATTGGACATCTTCATTATCATTACGCAACAATAAAATCACGATGTGTCGTAATTTTATACGAAAGTTTCGACTAATTTGTTTGACAAAAGTTGGGCACCACGTCATTCAGTGTCCATTCGTTCTTGCCGGTTGATCGACGGGAATTCGGATGCTAGAAGGACGCGTAGACGAATACACGTGGACTGTTTAACGCGTATACGAGAGGGTAGATATGTGCGCTTCCCTGGAGCGGAGTTCCGGTCGTAGCCAGCTCATGGCGAATCGGCGGCGCAGCGTTACGGCGCTGCGTTTCGCAAACTTCTTTCCTAGCATAAATGAGGACCCAGCTAGCAAAAGCGCGTCGTTCGATCGTGCGCGAAAATATCCGCAAACGTTGCTATATGGGGTTCATGAAAAATGCAAACTACGCTTTTTTTGATTTGCGCAAAAAGGTGACGTATCGATTCGGACAAGAATAGAATTAAAGTGTTCATTGAAACAAATAAGAACAGCATAATTAATGAAGCTTATTTTAAACTTCATTGCATACTGTGTACTTAAAATAAGATGATATATTTCTAAGAGAAAGAGAAAAAAATACATTCTAGAAAACTTATATTCTATAAAAGACAATTCGATTTTACAGATTAAAGAAAAACTTTCAAAATTTGGTAAGATTGTGAAAAATGCAATTTGCTTAAATTTGCTTAAAACGTTGTAAAATATGTTTCACTCATTTCCGTAAATGCGCGACGTAGGGGAGAAGAATAAAGGCACAGAAACACTTACGTTGTCCGACGAGTGATTGCAGCATGCAGCAGAGGAGCAGCAAGATGCTCAATATGTTTCGTCCCATGGCAATTCAAGATCATCGTCCGTCAATTCTGTCGACTGATATATCTGCAAAAAATAAAAATCAATAATGAGAAACAAGAGACAAGGAATGATAAGAGTGCGTTACATTTTCGCAACGAGTTTTCTTTCATTTTCTCATAAGCCGTAAAAATAAAATTTTCCAGATGTCTGGATTTATCATATTCGCAGAAATATAATTCTTGCATTCGAAATATCTGTCCCAAATTTTGACCATAATTTTTTTCATTAATTTTATTATTTTTTTCATGATTGTTAAAAATGTTGGATATTTTTAATTATAATAAAAATAAAATTTTGTTTGCTAAATAGTTTGCATTAAATAATTAAGTAATTAAATTATTTTTAATAATTTAATTAACGTACATTTTCATATAAAATTGGTTATTAGTATTACAGCTACAAATTATGTGACATAAAGACGCGATAGTACAAAACTTTCATAATGCAGTTTGTATGACTAACTCCTCATTTTTCATTATATAATTTTCCGGTTTAGTTTCCCCTTTTTAATGTAATACAGATGTTTTCATTTTTTTTTAAGTATTAAAATAAATACAATAAATATAATTAATTCTACTATAATGCAACGAAAAGACGCAAAAGTTTAAAAAGTTTGAATAATTATTTTATACCGTTAAATTTGTCATTCAATTTTTAATTAATGAAATAATTAGAGATTCATAAAATTTAATTTAAAACAAAATTTGTGACATTAATAGTATGTTTTAAAATTGAGAATATTTTTATTCGTTTTTAAGGCTTTGTTTAGATTTCTTAAGAAAAAATCAAAATAAAAGTAAAGTAAATGTGTGTGCCTTTTAAAAATAACAACATACTTTCTAATGGAAAAATGGTGTGATAATTTCCACTTATGTGTTTGAGCTATAGAAGATAAAGTAAGAACATGTCATTAAATTGAACAATTTGATGGTAACGTGCAATCGAGTTTGCCATTAAGTTAGCAGATGAGTGTAAAAACATAAGCACTGGGCAAACCTCGTCTTGTCCAACGACGAAACGTGGTCTGCAATACGAGCATAACGCGTGGTTAGAAAGCATGCAGAGAAACTCCTTTATTACGTGGAGCTATGACTATGTAGGACTGCGCGTCATCAGGGCTAAAATGACTCGCACGATTTATTGCCAGAGACAATTCCTTGACACTTTGCATTCTCGCTTTTTGTGCGAATAATGCAACTCTCTCGTGATGTCATATCCGAAAGTTGTTATTTTCAGCGTCAGAAAATCTAAAATTACAATGTAATATTCTTTCTTACGAGAAAATAGCAAAAGCGGAAGTGGATTTCTTTAGGCTTGATGATGCGAGAAAGTGTGATTGATCAACACCTGCAACTTGCCATTCATGGTACTCGATGATAAATGAACAAGTAGTGGAAAAGCATTTTCAGTATTTAAGTGCAAATATTAATCATTAGCATCAGCATTTTAATTTTGTAAAATAAAAATAGTGCATAATGAGAGAAATCTACATACTAAAGAAAGCACCTAAAATCTAAAAAAATATATATTGTATAACACAAATATATATTGCACAGTTTTAAATTCAATGTTATTAATTTTTCTTTTGAGAACAGTTTTAATTCTTCATTTCATCTTCGTTTCATTTTCATCATTTACCGATATTCATAATACTATTTGCTAAAAGTATCTCAGAGTCTCAGTTCTGTCTTCTAGTTCCATTTTTCATATGCCTAGAATGCTCTGTATAAATTATCCGTTTCTTGACCCTCTATGGCATACGATTTTAGACATAACGGAAGTAGTTGAAAGGGTGCAAAAAATATATACCAAATGAAGGAACCGGATTTAAACAGAAAATATCTGCTGGATACTTCGGGGCTATGTGGGGCGCGGTACTGCTTAAATTCACGGACCGTAAATTGAAACGCAACGCGATGCGCAGCCGGCGTAAAGGCCTCCGGCCTCGGCTACAACAGATAACTGTATAAAAGATCGTTGGTATCTATATGCCGGTATATCGACACTCGATGATTTGAATTTTCACATGGATTGTTTTACTTAATCAACGTATACAATTAATTACTTTTGCAATTAATTTTGCAATGTAAGAACAACAATCGTGACTCTTTTTGTAATATTGATGTTTATATTAAATATGGAATTGTTATATGATCGTGCTCAATCGTGTTGTATCAAATCTTTCGTCGAATTAAAGTTTGAAATAAATATACAATCAGAAATTATACGAAAACACATGCGCATTGTTATTTTTCTCGTGTGTTTATATTTGTTAATTAAAAATTTGTTAATTAAAATATTGAATTTTTAGAATAATCGCATTTACGTTTAAGTGATAATAAAAGATAATTAGTGAAAGATTTGGCAGTATTATTGTGAGTGATTGTCCAATTTTTTTCTTAACAAATAGCTTTCAAAATAAAATCAAACAATGATAACATAGCTGATACTCACCACAAAATACGTTCGGAAAAAGCACGTCGTCCATGTATCTATAACTTCATCGTTCGTGAAATATTCCTCTCACAGTTCCAACTTTTCATCAATAACGCAAATTGCGATATTATTAATCTTCTGTTGATCCGCCACACATTCGATTAGTCTCCGTCCCTTATAACAAAAAACACAAAGGGCTTAAATTGCACCCTCGATAGTCTTTATCGATCCGCGCGGCCAGTCACTCTTCTAACTCACTTCTCTTTACGTTCATAACGAATATAAGCATGGAACCTCCAGATTTTATATCACAAGTGTATTGAATAACTGTTGCACTGAATTTCTTCAATAAAAACTCGACAGTTCTGTTATCTTTTTAAAACAAATTCACAAAACCTTATTTGAAATCTTATTCACAATTTGTTTTTCAATCTCTTCATTGTTTTCGACGAGTAACATTAATTTCCAAAAGTTTATTTACGCTTTTTTACAATTGGAAAATTTTTGTCTTGTCTTCTGTGGATTTTCCAAATGTTTTCTTTGAAAAAATTGTTCTAAAACTTGATCTATCTTGAGAAATAAGGCTTCACTTATTTTCACTGATTTATCATTCCACTCTACTTTTAATACACTGCATTTCACACTCGGTGCACTATCCTGATCGACCTGGATCTATCTCGCATCGAACTCGGCTACGATTACGACCGTGCTGTAGGGCTGTGGAACTCTTTACTACAAAACTGAGCCGTCGAGTAAAGCGGCCTGAACGGCACTGGGGAAGTCGGCTCCCCATTGTCAAGAAGGGGGGACCGCGGCGACCAACAGAAACGTCTACCGCGAAACTGAACCACGAACAGGTGTCTGCTTTCATGCACGATGGGGGAACGGATGCGATGCGTATGAGTGTGTACGACGGGTGCACACATAACTGACCCCTATCTTCGGAGCCCTTCAGAAATTTACATTGACCTTACCGGAATATGAGACTGCGACGATTTCCGGCTTTCGGGTTCCCCTCGAGAAAGGCTCCTGTAAAAACAAAAGAAAGGTGTGAATGTTAAAGATAATAATATGTGAAAATAAATAGACACAATAATAATAAAGAAAATAAAAATTAACTTACATAAGCTGAAAAAGAAGAAAAAGAGGTGAAGGAGCAAAGATTTTTTTAAACAGTTGATTGTGAGAGGCTAAAAGATAATTTCACATTTTAGCAGCGTAATAATGACAATAATTTGATGCGTTTATCATGAAAAACGTGAACTAACCACATCTTCGTCTGAAAATTAGCAGTACAGATAATTATTCAAAATTGATATTCCCTGACCCGACGTGACATCACATCACTCATCCCAATGTCTTAACTTTTTAATAACATAACGAGTACAAAATTGCCAGTACAACGAACTGTAATCCGGTAACGAACTACGCAATTAAGTAATGACAAAACAATTGCGTAAGCGAGCCAGCAATCTTTTTCGGCAAAACGCGTAGCCGAACGTTTCATTCTCCTTGACAGTTCGCGATTTAATGCCGTGAGAAATGGTCGAGGGCAAGTGGAACGAATCCCATGCTATGCGGCGTCGTGATTTGCCTATGGCATCGCGACGTGTCCCTCGCGGATCATCGGTCTGTGAAATTGCGAGTATACTCCTTGCCTCCTCGCTCCCCCATGGGAAAAATGACTTTTATTATGCACGGTGCTTGCGGTTAATAAACATCGGTCCGTCTCAGGTCTTCTCCACTTTGAACCAGTTTCTGTTATTGTAAGCGATTTACGCAGAATGACTCGCTAACGGTGCGTTCACCAGTCGACGATTGGAACGCGCAATTTATTTAATATTTTCGCAAGTGCTCAATCATATTATAAGCGTTTTCAAACACTCGATCATCGTTTGATTCTATATGAAAACGGCCAGTCACGTTATTTGATTGTAAAAATATCTCCACTGTTCTTGGATGCGCGACTTTATTATTAAATACTTGTATTCTTGTCGCTCGCATATTTGCCTGTCAAAAAAATTTTTAAAATTATTTTTCCTTATGTTAAAAAATCTTTTCTATCGGAAAATTGATAAAACAATATTTTCACTGAGTTAAAACTCTTGATATTCTTTTAAAAAAAAATATTTTGCATGAAATTATGTCAGTATCGTATCGCAATAAGTCAAAATTAAAAACTTTTTATGCTGTCCAGCCCATATGCATGCATCACGATACTGTAGTATACACGTAAGTCAAAGAAGACGTATCGTTTCCCACGCGATCGCGTGGCAGCTTCGGCAAGTGTTTGTTCATTGACTGAACGGTACATTCGATCGGAATATTCGATCTTTCTAGAAACAACTAATGGCGAATTTAGGTCATTCCAAATACATTTTTTTACAATATACATCTCACTTCTTTATAAAAAATAAAGAAGTCGAATAAAATTTTTTTTAAAGAATTTATAGTGTTAACAGCCATTTATTGACACATAAAACATTTTATAAAATAATAAAGCTTTTCTCGATCATCGTACAGGTACCTGCAAATACTATTTGAAAGCGCTAAAAAATATTTTATCACGCATGTAAAATTATGCGACACAAATAACTTCTACTTGTGTATTTAACAACAGTTGAAAGCCTTTGCTGAAGATTATAAGTATGCGCAGCGTTCAACCAACGCTGATCGATTAGCACATGGAATCACGGATTACACGAATTAACACAGCTTAATACAGAAAGGAGGTTTGATCGTCATCCTCTCGTATCGCTCACATCACCGGTGTTCCGTTCCATTGTATGAGAGCATCCTGCCACCTTTGGTGCAGCGTGGAACAATAAGTGGAAGAGATACCTTGAATTCTGTGTTGTTTGAGGTGACGCTTCAGCGATCTCGTGAATGTAGCGTGATTATTTAGTAATTGAGAAAACAATAGCGATCTCTTAAAGAAATTTCTGTCTTGCAGCAAAAAATTGTTTAAATTAATGGTGAAAGCAAAAAATTATTTCAATTGTGTATTGCACTGGGTTTGAAATATATATTCAGATATCTCGTGCAATAACGGAATCATCTATCAGTGTTTATGCTTTTTATGTATAGAATATATAAAAATGTTCGTAAAGATGCGAGAAGTAAAATTTATATTTATTATGTGAAATACTTACTTGGATCGAATGAGTTTTTCTAACGGTGTTGTGGCGATATCCATGGCTTCCATTGTTGCAGAATCTGATTTTCCGGAAGTCTCGTTTGCCCTGGTGTCCACCGTCAACGTAGCGTGACTGCCACCGCAGGTGAAATATTGGACCTCAAACCTTTAATGTATACAATAGACAATATTTCTTCGCGCCTCTCGAGAAAAAAATACTATTTATTTGTTCGTGTTCGAAAACTAGAGATGAATGCCGCCCGCCCCAAAATAATTTATTGGCTCGAGTTATCAATAACTTCCGTTTCTTATGTTAGATAAATATTTGCTACCGCTGCGAAGGCTTTATATGACCAAACCCAATTTGTAGTAGCTCTTTTATTCATAAATTGTGTATGTGATTATATCTTATAAGACTTTTTTAATCTGTTATTATGTGAGCGGAATATTTTTATGCAATATTATATATTGAGATAATAAATAAAATAAATAGTAAAATAAACGAAATATACCGTCGTTCTGCGTGATAGTTTCTCAGCAATTCTCGATTCGTGTTGAAGAGCACGCCGTGATGACCGAGACAAAGAGTCAGCCATATCGGTAGAGTGGGTGTCTTCAAGCGAGAACCTGGCTGTTTGCTCAAATTATTGTCGCCTTCGTGTATTAAGAATCCTACTTCGCTTCTTATAAGGACGCCCCATTGTGGTAGAGACTTTTTAAATTAATTATAAACAATAATATTAATTACATAGAATAGAATTAATTTAATAATCGTTTTTTTTAAATTAAATTAATTGCAATAGATAAAAATTATTAAAGATTAAAGGAATGACTTACGTATGTATTTTCATCGCCAACGTGAACCACTCCGTTGTGGAGATGCGGTGAAACACGACCAGTTAAAGTGAGGACGATGACGCTAATTGGGCCTTCTTCCGGACATCCACCGAGAATCGATGCCTTTGGATCTTCCAAATCACTCTGAACTCTGATTAAATTTAGTATTTAAATACATTACTTAAAGTACCATTCGTGTTTGACTGTCCAATTAAGGTAATTTTTATTCTTTTTTAACCGGAATAAAGAATAAAGAAAAAACAGAAAAGCTTACTTTGAAAGGCTTCTCGAGAGAACGGCACTGTATAAAAGTAAAATCGCACCGGCTCCACCTTCGTCGTGAAACTGGAAATACACAAGTATTCTCATTAATTTTAAACATAAATTTATTTTAAAGATAATTTTATTACAAAAAATTGATACTTTTAATTAATAAAAAACAATTAAAATTTGAGTTTGAAATAAAAATAGTTATGTAACTCTTCGATTAAGTAATGCTCGACATTGTCCATGTGATATATTTGATATCAAATTCGCAAAGCACTTCAGTTTATCACAGTAAACACTCACCAAGTACAAGTACCTCTTGATAAATATCTCAAGATCTTCCAAGGAATTGAATTCAAAGAGGTGCAGCTAGAATATACAAAGCCACCGTTCAAGATCAGTTAAATTTGATAACGTTGTAGAACATAGATTATTATATCGCATTTGGGATTATATCAGCCGCACAATCTTGAAATTATTCCTAACATGGTTGGTAAAATATCAACGCTGTAATTTGACATACTCTGTTTCGTGGCATATTAATTGTATGAGAAAGCGTAAGTTTCACTCCATTCTTTCTTTATGTAATAGAGATAAAATTAATGTACCAATGCACAATTAAATTGTTTCACTAAAGAACATTAATTTTGTCACATCTTATCTTTCTCCTTTAAATTAATACTTTTAATAATTTAATTGAAAAATTGATTATCTATTAATTATATACAAACATTAAAATTATTAATATAAATAATTTACTTCTTAAACATATTTTTGTTCCATTATAAAAGTATAGTTTTAGTGAACATTTGTTTCAATTTACTGAGGCAGAAAGTAATGAAAAACATACTGTTTCTGTTAATCCATCTTGAAAATATCGCACATTATGTTGAAGATAAGGTATATCCTGTGGCAGAACCACCACGGCCTTTGGCACGGTGTTGCTGACGACATTTGAGCACGTGGATACGGAGAAGCCACCGGTGCAGCGCCAAATAATCTCCGATATTGCAGAAGTCAGCACTTCGATTTGTCGATCGTATGAAGGTTTCAGCAAACTACAATCAGAAAAAAATTTCCTTTACGAATTAAGTTATTCTACACAAAAATTAATAGTGTATATAGATACTTAATAATAGATTATTATTTTTTACTATAATATATTTATGTTCAGTAAAATTTTCTAATTTAGTTAACAAAAATTTCCTTTACATACACATAGAATAATATAATATGTATTAAAAATACTTACTCTTCGGGATTTACGCGTTGATCTTGCCTGTTGCACTTAAATAAAAAATGTTTTAACATGACAGCCTGCACTGCAGTGACGAGGCCTCTTGTTGTGTTCCTAGGCGCTCTCAATCCAAACGCCAAACTCTGTCCATATGGTCGTAAAGTCAGTCCGGTCCTTGCCCATTCAATCTTAGGTGGAGTCGCGCAGGAACCGAAGACTAATGTCCTCAAAGCCTGTAATAGTGTGACTCGTAATACAACGAGAAACTGAGAATATAATAAAAAATATTGCAGTCGCCGGAAATATTCGCGCCGGAAATTTATAAAATCAATATTTTATAAATTTAATTAAATTTATAAGTAAATTAAATTTTTATCGAAAACAAATTATATGAATCTTGCAAAATTTTTCATTGTGTTCATAACATGCATTTCAAGATTACCATGCATGTTTCTTCGTCGATGGGTTGTCCGCCGATTACCGGTACTTTTGGCAGAGTTCTCGTATTACGTGGATAAAGTATCCTTTCTGAAACATACAAAGAAAATATATTTCAGAAATAAAACGGATTCTAAAACTAGATGTTCTTTTACACCTGGATACCGCTCGTCGGGTTCGGCCATGAGAGCAGCGCATCGAGCTGCTCGAGTTGACAGTAACATCTTCCTTGAAATATTCTTAACGCTGCGATATTAAATGTATCCAAAGTATTACTTATTGTTATTCCACAATATTATATTGAGCTTACTGGAAAAATATCGGACCAATTTCCAAATTTTTTAGTTTTTTTAGAAAAAGATGTTATAAAGTAATTACATCAGCTCATTACATGCATGAACACCTTGAAATTAATGTGAACTTTTCGGATATTGTTTTCTGTTTTATTGTTATCTTTCAAATAAATATTTCTTATATATCTTTCACATAAATATTTCTAGCAACAATTTTAGTCTCAATAATCTTTCATTTATTACGTTTAATGCTGTTTATTTTTTGGTACTCGATATGTATAAAAAGTACAGCGCGAGCATGAAATGCAAGAAACGCTTTTAGACAAGGGCGATTTTTAGGCGACTTTGCTCGATGTCACCTGACGGTACCACGCCGGTAGGATATCGAGTATCAATTGAGATCATGCCGGAATCCGCACATCCCTTTTATATAGGTTCTGATATGCGGTGCTTGTGCGTGCAGGCATCTCGCAAAATACGTTGTGACGTCGAAACTGATCGTGCACGAAAGGTGTCAATTCGAATGCTCGAAAGGACACGCCGGTTGGGAGCGATAGACATGCCCTACTAATGTCTATTTGTCATGTCGCATTCCGAGTTGGAATTTGAGTTCACGTGATTTCATCCGTGTGACCATTGGCGTAACTGAAACACCCCCGAGGATTTCCTTCAGGATCAAAAAATAAAAAAATAAAAATAAACAGAATAGAAAGAAAAAAAAACAGAGAAAAATAAACAAAGAAAAAATATAGATAAAAAAGAGAGTAGAAAATAAAGAATAAAGAAGAGAAAAATAAAAAGAGATCAGAGCATTTTTTAAACGCATTATTATCAAAAGTGTTATAAAACTTAGAGATCAATTAAAAATTAGAATAAAGTTTCATTAAAATTTTTGTAGAGCGGGTGAGGGCTAATAATACATTACGCCGTTGCACGTAGCAATGGCCGAAGTTACCTAAGTTTCTGTATTTCTCACGTTTTTGTTATATGGCGAGTGTTTTAGGAGGCGATAAAGTTTAACACGGTGCTTTGTACACGAATGCAGGATATGAATGTGTTTGGGTCTTTAGACTTCTCGCGTGTACGTCAGGCATATCTGCGGAAAGCATACAGAGGGAAATTCAGAATAAATATAGGAACAAGGTTTTTGCTTAGACAAGTTGATTGTCGTGAGTTGCGATATTAAAAACTGATATGATACAAATTGACGAGTGGAGAAAATGTTAATTTTTTTTTTTTAAACTTTTGTTAATGTTATTGATCAGTAAATCCATTTAATAATTAGATGTAAGATACAAGAGTAGAAGTTACACAATTCTTTCTCTGTGGACTTAAAAAAGGCACATCTATAGAAAAAAGATAATTTTTAAGAAAGATAATTTTTTATAGATACGTATATTATTCGCGGCCTTTCAACTACTCTTCATAGCTCGAAAGCAATCGCATGTTCGCGTGCAATCAAGATATCGGATTACGAATTCGCGCCGGAACGGCCATCTGCATTCGGCGATTGCACATCCCGATATATCGCGCCCCTAATTTACATTTGCTAGGTGCCTCTCGAGGAGAGGCATACCTATCGATCTATTCGACTGTTTGCGTTCCTGCAGTATATACGCTTCTACATCTATAGAGTTGTACCTAGTTATATCTTTACCCTGATTACTCTGTGTTTTCTTAACGAGGAAATCAACTCAAGTTGAAATGCGGGAAAGCCAAAGTTATAGTGAGAAGTTATAGTGCATGTGCTGTATTTGACTAAAAACTTTTAGAGCGAAATAGAAAAGTAATGCTAATGAGAATTTTTAGCTTCTTTCAACTGCGTTAAATTTTTTTTTATAAAAATTAATAAATCTTTATGTGCAGTTAGTAAAATTGTAATTTTTAATGACAAATGATAGATTTTCTTGTAAAATTATTATTGCAAAATATAGTGATTTATTCAATATTAATATACTTAATATTTATCTCATTTATAAGATATAAATGCATAATTTTTGTCTAGATTCATACCTCTGTCTCGAAGATAAGGGGGTAACTTCTCCTTCCGCATCTCCCTACAATGTCGCTTATCACAGATAAGTGTTGCATCAGCCACGGTAGCGTCTTTCTCTTCTGGCATGTTGGATGCGGATTCCGCCATTTGTTGAACTTGTTTCTCGTATCCAGAATTTAAATTACGTCGTGACACAGTTTTTCAAATTACTAATAGTCGTGCGCAAACAGATTGCTCCAAAATCATCGCATATTCCTTTTCTGTATCAACAATAATTACATGTCAAGTTTACTCGCTGAAACATTTCTTCAGATTGGAAAGTGTACGCATTCTTCCACTTTATTTGTCAAAATTTATGATCCACAGTCTGATGCAGTTCGACGGTCCATAAAACGCCACTCGTTTCCATTCAACGATTGCTCCTTAACCGGCATGACTTCCGCAAAAACGCGTCGACTCGCTCACAGCGGTGTTTTCACATATTCTCATTTTGCTTGCCGAAGATGGATTGACAGAATGTAAGAAAAATTCCATATATTCCTTGCATTGTTCACAGTTTCTCTCGATGGTTCCCTGATAATGAGACTTTGACATCCATGCATAAAAATTGGAATACGAAACTCTGCGTATGCGGCAATCTGTAAAATGTCAGTGATTTAAATGCGCATGTTAACTGCAACCGCGGGCAACGACCGCGAAAAAATTCTGAAAGTTTATTATCATGAAATTTCATCGTTTAAAGTCATTAATTATTTTTTTCTTATTGCGTATATTATGTACTTTTGTATAGTGCATATTGTAATATTTACTCTATTAAAATTTTTGTGTATTTTCTCACAATTAATTCATATAATTATTCCATAAATAAATCGCCTTTTTACTATAATTTGAACTGTATTAATTAAGATATTTTATTATATTTTGTGTTTTTAAGCGTATTATATTGACATTAAAATGCAAACTACGTATATGTATATGTAGTTTGCATTTTATGATCACGGTTTTTCAGAACAATTTCTATTTATTTTGTATTAAAGTAATAATTATATTATATTTAAATCACACTGAAATTGTATGTATAATTCACATTAGACACTTGTTCATACATTTAACACATCGGCATAAATTCCGAATATCTAATTGAGCCACTTCAAATTTTGACGAAAGTATTGTTTGTACTCTCATTGACTTGCGATAACTGACAGACTGCCGTCAGACGTGCGGCTAGAAATAATAACCCTAACTAACACCCCCGTGCTGACTCAGCTCATTGCGCCGCGCGAGCTTTCTATACAGGGTGGCCAAGAAAGGGCGCGATCAATTTTACCGCATAATTTATTATAATAATTATTATCTCTCTCTCATGTGCCAGTTAAGAAAAATTATTAATCAACAGTTGGATAAGATTCAGCAGAAAAAAAACCGAAAAAGATGATTCTTCACTTCTCTCTTGCAGAAGTTATACAGATCTTTAACTTTTTATCAGATTTTAAATTAAATTTTTTAAATGACAAAGTTCTCCGTAAACAATTCTGAGATTGAAATATCCGAAATCTTTAGATGAATAAATGTGAATGTCGGTGAAAGATTAAATTACTTGACAAATTATAAAATAGATGCCCGGTTAAAAGAAATTATTCACTTAATTGTTACACGTGTACTGACGACTTTGATGTGCCCGAATCATGCTTTTATACCTGCGTAGCACCTGGTATATACCAACTTTACACCTGAGCTGAATTCGGCACAAATGTACAGAATACGGATCGTCTTATCTTATAGATTTATCGGGGCTGCGCATCTTTGCATGCGTTTCGTGCTGTTCTCGTTCGAGTTTTATAGACAATCGGAAATGAAGTTGCAGTCAAAAACGGCTGTAATAAAACTGTAACATAAAAAGAAGAAAATAAGCCACTTACGTTTTTCCGGATTAAAATGATAAAAGTATGATTGATTATATGAACACTTCATAAATCTGTTATTAATTATAATATTGCATGAGAGTGAAGTGATACAGTATTTAATTGTTATGTCTTGTTGTGCGGAATAATGTGATAAATAGTATTCATTGAAATGTGAGAAAAGTTTTGTACAAAAAATTATAGTAATGTATACTATTATTGTAATAAATTTATTGTATTGTATTTATGTATTACACCTACACATGTCTTTCAGATGTTTTCAAGACATGCGTGTTGTTTGGGTTAGCTCATTTCAGCGTCATTTAATAGATAAATAATTCTACAATCGTATAATATCCACACAATATTTCTAATTTCTCAAAAATCACTCTAGGGATTATTAGATTAAGCTATTATATTTTTAGGATTTTCCGTATAATATTACATTGAAGATTAAAAATAAAAAAAAGATTCAATTAGACGATCTGTTTGACCAAATCTTAATACGTGAGGCATAACAAGGAAGCCGAAGAATCGTTAAAATTGATTTCCTCACCGTTCTCGCAAGTCCAACTTATCGTTCGTTCCTAATTGCCAATTTCCTGATCATCATTCGTAAGTCTGCGCTCGAACGAATCTAAGTTCAAGTTCGCGTTCTGAAATAGATATGTATTCCGCTAGTGGTCTACTACGAAGATGTACTATCAAGGTATTGGTGCATATGTGTGTGTGCAGATATGCACAGCACTCATACCGGTCTGGTGTCGGTGCAAATATGAAATTGGACGGCTAAAACCGTGTGGCGTAGTACCAGGAGCGGTGCAATGCATGCACACGTGCGAGTGCAGCGGAACGAACGAGAGGCAAGCTTAATGATCGATCAGCTCCGCACGAATTACGCCAAGCGAAACGGAGATCATATATCTCGTGCGCGGATGATCGATCGCTGACGTCTGCCTCGGAAAATGGAAAACTGTAATTCTTCGAAAGAGAATGTACTGTTCTCTGTTTGTAATACCGTGCAATGTTGAATGCATGCTTATAATGCAGTGTTATTGTTCAAATTATACAGAAATTCTAGTAAAAATGCATATTGTACGAATTGTCCATCAATTAAAAATGCAAAAAAATGTGTGTTTATTTTTTATGAATATTTATAATTATTATAACATATATTTATTATCTTCCAAATTTAAGCTTACACTTTAAATATTCCAACTTTAACTGTAATTCAATAAATAAATTCTTTCAAAAATTAAATTTTATTTTTTCTTAGAAAAAAAGACTGTTAAGAAAATATAAATTGTAAAAAAATAACTTTCTAGAAACAAAATATATTATGAATTTAAGAATGCAATTGCATTTTGATATAATATTAATTAGAAAATTTTTCAATAAATTGATAATTCATTTATTTATTCTTGTGAATTAAAACGAAGTTTGTTACACACCTTTTGATGCTTCAGTCTAGTAAGATGTAGAATTTGCCAGTGAGACATTTGTCATTCCACCTTTTTTCTTTGCCTTCCAATACATGTCCTTTCAGTTCTTTACTATATAAAAAATTATTTGTAAATTTATGTCGTCTAAAGTTCGTTATATTTAATGATGAAAAGAAGCTATTTACAAACACAAAGTTGTTAAACTATAAAAAATTGAGTAATGTTTTTTATTAAATCAATTATATGTATATTTCTACTTTTTTTATTATGTAGTGTATATATTATTTTTTCTCAATTAAGTAATATTGTAAAATTTAATAAATTATCTAAAAATATCTAAAAATTGTAAAGATAAAAAAATAACCATTTCTATATATAAATAGTATTACAATGGCTATAAAAAAATATAATAGCTTTGTCATTTTTAAAATTGTATTGTTAAATAAATTAATATCTAATGCAATTTATATAAATTACTTCTATTTTTTTGAAGTATAACAAATTTACATATCTTTAATGAACATTGAAATACAAGTGCAATTTACGTCAAAGACTTTATCAAAATTACCTTATAATCGATCCTTTCATTCTGCTCTGAACTTTTACTAACTGCCACTGAAGCTAACTGTAATATAAAATGCTGTTGTAATATTTGCGATTACAAGTAAATATTGAGATTTATGGGTTAAAACAATAGTAAGTTTGGGTGATATCACACTGTAGCGTCATTACAAAGGAGAAACCTGAAACTAACCTGAACCAGTTTCCAGAATGGTTTTCGTGATTATTCGTGATCCGGAGAATTAATAGAAGCTCCACCTAAGGCAAGTGTATGCTTGCCCAATGATGATAAATTAAGCCGCCTAATTCCGAAGAAACTGTTTCTTTAAAGAAAGGTTAATTGCGTTCTGTGAACATAATTCATTATTAAAGAATAAGAGAATAATGTAGTGAATTGATATGTTAATTTTAGATGTCTCAATTTCAACAAAAGAGCAAAAGCTTGTTAATAGCTTACCATGCATCTTCTCCCACATTGTGTACAAAAAAATAAAGCTTGACAAAGGAAAGAGGAGAGGCTAATATTTTAAAAACTAGTCATCTAATCAGTGTACTTGTTAGTCTTTTTGAGAACGAATCAGAAGTTGGCTAATATGTATGACGAATTTCTATCTGATGTGCTCATTGGCTGTCAAATAGGAATTTTCTAATATTTTTATAAAAATATGTCGGCCCTTCAAATGCTCTTTATCTAATAACCAATCAAATCATTCGATACAAATTAAAGTATTATAACTGAAATGTTTTGCGCGCTAAATGAGACATTCGTAATTTTTCCGTGTGCATGTGTGAATCGTAGCTGCGTCATTCGAAGAATTTTGTAAGTATTTATTGTATTATAATATTAACAAACGTTTTGAATATCGATAAATTTAGAATAATATATAGCATTGATCACTAATGAATATTCAAACCAGATAAATTTGGGATACATTATTAATAAAAGTGCATGAAATATTTTTGGAGCTAGTGGAAGAGTCCATTTTTGATGAGATGCACTTTTGATGAGATTATTATATAAAAATATTTCATATCTAGCGTTCTAATTGTTAATATCATATTCATTTTTCGTAGTTACATTGTGCTTATATCTTTAATAAACAAAGATAATTAAATTTTAGAAAGAAAATAAAAAAGTATAAGATTGCAAGTACACGGAACAGTCCATTTTCAAGAAGCAGACACGAGTGGTTTAATGAACATCGTAAATTGTTGATCGGCATTCGTGAATTGTTGCTGCGCCATTTGCAATAAATTTGTTAGATGATGGGAAAAATCCGATCTTCAGGTAATTTGTTTATTATAAAATTATTTGTTATTAATATTGAAGCGTATATCGCAATATATATATTGTTGAAAAGTCGTTGCATAAAAATAGAACAAAAACTCATATTCATGGTTGGCTTCAAACCACAAGCGAATAGGGTTGCATATTTATATTTTTTCTGGCAAACTTCGATTAAAATATAAAAACGATTTGAGATACAAAGAATACTCCAATAATATTAGAATAACAAAAAAAATATAAAATATTTGTAATAATGGGAGAATAAAATTCGATCGCGATCAAGCTGATGAAAAATCTTGAGTTGCATATATTGAAATATAATAAGAAATTATTTATAAAGATAATAATCAATAATGCACGATAATAGAAATATATAAATATTTATTAATAAATAATATAAATATTTCAATAAAATGATTAAATAATTTTTTGATATATAAAATAACATTAATAGTAATGATATTAATAATAAGCATAATAGCAAAATAGAGACAATAATTTAAAAAATTTTCTTTTGTTCAAATATTACAAATTCAACACAGATATTGATCTTTTGTTGATAACGGTAGTTATCTTTTGTTTTAAGGAAAGTGGAGAAAAGTGAAGGAGAGATTATATATTACATTATATTGTAAAAATAATTTAATTCGTACAAAAAGTGTTGACAGCAAGTTTATCAATCGTACAATACCCAAACAAAATTAATAAATATCAAACGGGGCTTATTATCAAGAATGAAACTTTATTCGGTTATTATAGAAATGTCATTAAAAAACCTGCTTTAACAATAATTGAACATAAATATTGGATATAACAGTATGCAGTCCGAATAAATGATCATTCTAGATAATAAGATTTTTATATTTTATATAAGATAATAAGTTTTCTTATTAACGTGTAAATAATGATTTTTTACATTTTATTAAGTCTTAGACTTTTTTACAGTGCCTTTTCGTTGTTTTGGACGTTTGTTTGACTGATCTGTTTTTGATTCTTCTTGAAACTCGTATTTTTGTGACAATTTCTCTTTAATAAGTAATCCCTTAATGAGTTTTTTCCAATTGCCGTAAATCCTCTTCTCTCTTTTCTCAGTGGCACGTTTAGCTGCCTCGACTTGTTCTGTTTCCCAAGCTTCTCGCAATACGTCTTCATATTCAGCACACACAACACAGCCCTCAATGGCTGGTACGGCACCCATACAACCAAAATTGAAACCCACCACTGCGGTTGCGCAATCTATGTTTAGTTTCCGGGCAATACGATTCAATCCTGGAACTATAGATTCCCACATAATATACTGTAATTTCACCCTGCGACTTTGTAAGAAAATATAAGTTTGAAATTCTTTTAATATTTTTTAGATTTTCTAATTTTTATATATTATACAAAACAGTTGTCAAACCACATATATGATGTCTTTTTCATTAAGAATATAAAATAATGCAGAGACAAATTAATCATTAAAAATTGTGATAAGCAAACAGGTATTGTACTTAACAAAGAAAGATATGCTATACTTACGATTTATGTGTACTGTGCCTTTCGGAAGCATACATTTTTTAAACAAATCTACATTTCCGAATGCGTTACGTGGCACAATACCATCTTTAGCCTCTGGTGGCTCATACTCTGTAGTTTGCCATTCTCCGAATAATTCTAGTGCTGAATCCTTAATTTTCATGCCTGAAAGCTACACAAAATTTTTGTAGTATTTTTTTTATAAACAATAGTTTTTATAAAACGCGAAAAAAAATTTGGTTTTATAAAATTCTAAGGAAAGATATTAGCACAATTTTACCTTGTCATACTTTGGCAGTGCTTTAACTATTTTATAAGCATCTTGCTTCGGTTTAACTACTCGAGCATGTTTTAGCCAAGTTTCTCGCGAACGTAGCGTGTGCACGCAATATCGCGAATAGATGGCTTCACCCGTTTTCAAATGTCCGAGTGGTACGCAATCCGGTGGATACAAGGCTTCATATTTGAGCAAGTGCCTAATTAATACGTATAATGGATGTCCCTTGCATTCGCTAACAGTTTTTGGCAATGGCTGTTCTAATTCTCTATAAAACAAAGTTGCATTTTATTATGAATCAGTAGTATTATAAGCTTTTTAAAATATTCTTCATCATAGCTAAATAATTAAGATAAATTTAAAAATGTATAAAATTAGCAAGAAAAAGAAGAAAACATACTTTTGTAAAAGTAACTCATCCTCCTGTTTAGATATGGCTGTTTCCTTTTCTTGCCAATAAGTTAAGGTTTCAATCCACCATTTCTCATCAATACGCTGTTTACGTGTAACAGAAAGCCATTGTGGACAATAGCGTCGTGTGACATCCTTTATTAATCCCTCCGAGTTGTATGCTATAACATATAATACTGGTTTGCTCGCCTTTTTCTGAAACATAATATCACTAATATTACAAATAATATCGTTAATATCATTTATATACAAATTAACTATAGTATCATAATTACAAAAATAAATTTTTGTTTTTCTTTTGGATTATTGGTTACATATATTTATATGCATATATACTTACATATATTTCAGTCACACAATCCACATTTGAATCCATCACATTTACACATATCCAGCATCCTTTAGATTCTACATATACCTCAGCCCATACATCTTGCCTCTTTTTTAATTTGTCATTATCTTCTTCTTCATCCTGGGATGCTTGGTTCTTCTTTTTGTTCTTTTCATTAGATGTGGTGACTGCTTTATTGTTATTACTGCGTTTTCTTTTTGGCTTGCTAAATAATTTTTCTTCTTCCTCCTCTTCTTCTGAATTAGAATCAAAACTACTACTTTCTGATCGTCTTCTGGACTTTTGTGTTTCAGGTTGATTATTTTTCGAATTAGTTTGTGTATTGTCCTGTGGTTTATTCACTGCTGATGCAACATGTGTTTTACGAGGCCTTAAACGTCTTGGAGATACATCAATATTTCCTTTTTTTGAACTTGTGGAAGTTGCTTTAATATCTTTTGATGTAGAAGCACTATCTTGGATAGATATATTATTTACTTTATCTTTGTTCTTCTTATTATAAGAGTACTTTGAACGCAGAATCTCTGCTGCCTTTTTCTTCGCTTCTTCATTAGCATTTCTTCGAGCATTTTCACTATTTTGAATTATATTCTCATTCTTGAGATCCTTCTTTGAGTCTGTACTTTTTTTTCCTTTAGACAACTTTGCCTTTGTTTTTGATTCTTTTGGTTCTTCTTTAATTTTGTCATTTTTTTTCGCTGTACTTGTTTTAGGCAATAATTCATTATAGGTTTTTACAAGTGGTGGATTGAGAGACAATATTAAACGACAATGTAAACCAATAGCTCGTAGTATTGCTACATATAGTATTATTAATTCCCTGTAATTGAAAATTTTCTTCTCTGCTATTCTTTTTAACAGTGTTTCTTTATTTATGACAACTTCGTTATCACCAGGTTCTATTGTAAACATATTTCTAAACCATTTTGTAAACTTTGTTAGATATGTCAAATCAAAATTGTTTTTTGGATAATTATGTTTTGAAACAAGAGATACCACTGTTGACATGATCTCAGGATCATTTGCTTGGTGATTCAAGTAAAATCCATGCGCCAACCAACAAAGTCGAGCTGCTTTTTCTATAATTATTTGGTTGGTTTTCAGTTTCCTTCTTAAAATCGCAGCTAGATCTGATTCCTTTTTGGAAGATGTTTTCTTCTTGAAAACACTTGTGCCTGGCAGAGTTATTTTAATACCTTCTTTAGGTATAGTATAATCATCAGGACGTTTAACATCCTCCTCCTTTTTCTCTTCATTATCCGTGTCTTCATCATTTTCAGGAAGTGCATGTATTCCAGTTTCTCCTTGAAGCAAAACTGCATTTATTTCATCTGATATATTATTTTTTTTAACATTAACTGTTTTTATATTTTGTAGATTATCGTTGGAGGAATGCTGCTTCTCATCATTGATATAAGTCTTCTGCGAAGCTTCCAGATTCTTGACCACTTCAGAAAACAGTTCAATACCGTTGTTCTCAGGAACATTTGTGAAATTATCATTGTCGCTGCTCTCATCTTCGCTACTGTCCTCCTTCAAATTCAGGTTAGTCTTTGTCGCCGGTTTAATTGTAAAGAAACTTGCTGTCAGCTCATCGTTTGGCGTAATACCAGTAAAATCATTACTACTGTCAGAACTGTCATCATCAGAATCACTCATACTGCGTGTTATTCTGCAAAATAGAATCCTTTTGTTCTCTCTGACTATCTTTTATTTTATCCCTTATTATTATTATATATTACCTCACTTGATTTCCTTTATCCGTGAAATTTATTTTTCTGGTACCGCCAATAGATACAGAACGACTGCTTTTATATAATGTCAATGTATATTAAGAGGGTAAATCTATATTAAACAACACGTGCGAGCACTCAATACACATTGTTACCAAGGATTAGGCAGGATTAGCCAAAATGCGCGCAGATGCGCCACCACAAAATAGTAAGCTATTTCTATTATTATCTTCGAATGGTACATAATATATTTAACTTATAGTATGCTAGTTTATCGATAATTGTTAATATAGTAGACATGATAAAATTTTGCACTTGTTTTCAAATGAATCTCATTGATAAACAGTATTACTAGGTGTGAGATTTTCTTTCTTTAAAAAAAAATCTATAATAATGATTATTTAGTTTTAATTAAATACATTTTTTATAAATGTGTTTAAAAGTTTACACAATAGAAATTTTAAATTGTAGAAATTAAAATTAAAAAAAAATTAATGTTATTAAAATATTGTATTATTTTGTTGAGAAATTTTTTATCAGATATAAAAATAATGCAAAAATAAATTGAAATAAAATACAAATATTTGCAATACTGTCGACTTTACAGTAACAATATTTTTATATTTATACTCTAACTCAACAGAATGTTAGGAATGTTGGCAGATTGACAGCAAATTTGTCAATCTGCCAATGTTGCTAACATTTGGCTATCTGGATAAGTTAGATGTATAGATATTAAAATAAATATTTTTTCACGATAAAATTTGATGTAATTTTATCGAAACTTTGTTTAAATTTATTGTTATGTTTAATATGTTGTTATATTTTGCAACAGATTTTTTATTAAAGTATTTCTATAAATTTTATCAATTTTTGAAAACTCTATAGGAAAACAATATTGTTTGATTAAACTCTTATTTCATAAACACTTCATTAACCAACATTTTATTTTATAAATGTGCACTTTAAATGTCATTATAAAAAACATCACGTGCAACAATTCTTTATAATATATTTTATGCATTTGTTTGATTTTGGCTCTCTCTTGTAACAATGCTAATATACCGACTTTTCGTGGATGTGATGGATAGCGCGTAACTGCGACATGAAAGCCGGTTTACTTGCCGTTCATTTATTCTACGCTCTACGTGTGACAGTGAGATATACATATCTACAATATCCGTGCATAACAAACAATGGAGATTTTATGAAATATTACTGTAAAAAAAGATTTCTCCTTGGAGAAATAGTGCGGCACGTGTAGTGTGATGGAAAGAAACGTGTTCTAAATAGGAGAAATTAAATTCATGCGACGGTACATGAATTTTACAACAGGTTTTTGCTGCATCTATATTCAGATTTACTGACATCAGATGATTTCTGAGATCATAAATCACTTTAAAATTAAAATGCAAAAATTAAATGGTTTGATGCAAGAAAATAATTCTCTTATTGATATTGAATTATTGAATAATAATTCCATTATTGACTTTCTCAAAAATGTCAAATTTTAAATAATTTGTGTTTTTTGAATATATGACATTATTTTTAAGATAAACAACATGCTTAAACAACGATCTGTTATTATAATGATTTGAAATGGCATCGGGAGATATGTTTTTCTTTATAAAAAAAATTTTACTTTAATACTTTTTTAAAACAGTTCCAACGGTACAATCGTTGCCAAAAATATAGAAAGTAAGTGGAATTAGATGTATACAGAAATATGGTAGAAAATAACAAACAAAACAGTTTTCGTTTCACTGTATTTTCCACATGCAAATGACGATATACTTCTTACTGCTGTCTTTCTGCTCTTTATGCATTATATTAAATTATGTTATTTTTGTCATAAAATTATTCAACAATAACGTAGTAAATGTCGTGAAATTTAAATGTGGTTTTTATAAATATTTATCTAATTATATTCAATTTTTTATAAATTTTTTGAAAGTAGTTTTTCTATAATTAAACAAAATTGTCTGATTTTTGTTTGATTAACCTATAAAAATTATTCAATAAATGGCATGTTAAATGAAAGATATTTTAATAACTAAGTGATAAAAAATTCTAAAAGAATGTGAGATAATGCCTCTGATATTGTATACATTTATTTCTTAAAGTTTCAATATATCGTTGAAACCACCTTAAATCACAGTGCCTTGTGTATTTTACTGTAGCAAACTTTTTAATTACAAACTATTGAAGAAACTATAGAGTATTATAATATTATCAAATCTTTCTGTAAGCATAAATTTTTGGACGATGTTTTGCTATTAATTCTTTTTAGCACAATACTTAACGAAAATTCAAGAATACGTTATTATTCATTATATCTTATTGATAATTTTCAAAACATCAAACAAATTTTATTTAAATTTTTATTTGCAAACACGATTAAAGTGAAATTAATTAATAAACGACATTTGGACCACGTCAATCTATTAATAGCTCACGAGTTTTATTTTTTATAATTTTGAACTTTGAACTTTTTGTTCTTGTCTGGGACTCTGTAAATTTAATCATCGTGAGTAAGTCTAAAGTTATCAATGTTTCGAGGTTGAAAGAATTGTTTTTTTTTGCTGGTTTGACCTCTAGCATTAGTGATAGATATGTAGTGGTGAAGCGCAGTGAGATGGATTTTATACAGAAGGTATGTGTCTTGCAGTTTCTTGGTCGCTGACCATGAATGGTGGATATATATAAATTATTCCGATGGAAGGGTACACGCAAATGCTTATAAATAATGAGAAAACATATGCGACCGCTTGCTCCTTTCGCGGTTTTAGTGACCGTTTCTCTACATGCATGCATCGCCTGCGGCGATTTATCGGAGCACGTCGAGTTTGTCAGTGGATGCATCTCGCGCACCTGCACCTCCTGAATACGGTTCGACGTAGTGGATAATTACTACGACCAATGGCCGATGCACAATATCTAAGTGCATTTATGTGTGAAGCAAGTGCCGACATTTGCTTTGCTTGGTTACGTTTCGAGTTCGATGTATGCCATGCTATGCTTTCCAATAAATTGTCAATATTATTTGAATAGAATATGCATGATTTAGATACAGGCTTCATTATCATTAAAGAAGAGAGTGAGAGAGAGAGAGGTGGGAAAGGGAGGAGAGCTGCAAAATCTGTAGTTTATTTGAAATTAAATATATTCTTTTTGACAACTTTTTAATTGTCAATGTTATACACGCTATATGATAATTTACGGCTTTAATGGTGAATAAGCTATATGTCCTATAAATGTAAAAAGTTAATTTAAAATTATACAACAAATAAATTTGTAATAGTGAAAGAAAAAGATATTTCAATTTTTTTAGTTTTAGTAACTTGAAAATTAGCGCTTTGATGTTATAGCGAAAAGTATTTTTTTCAGATTTGGGATCAACTATCCATGACAGAGAGAGACGGTGAGGAATGCTGGGATACCCCTAAAACATCCCATACCTTGCACGTGTGGTATTTACGATAAAGGCATGTGTATAAAGTTACCGAAATCAAATCTTTCGAAATCTTTCGCAGCTATCGGGTAAGTTATCATCAATCACGTATATATATACATATAAATTTGTGAAAATCTGCAAATATTAAAATTATTTGATACTCGTGACTGCATTTCGTATCGTCATTATGGTTCTTTCGCGGATCTTGTTTTCTCAGAGGAAACAACTCGTAATTATATTATAATGTAATTTTAATGAAATTATTAACAAGAGATTATAGAAATGAAGAAAAATATATTTTTTTACCACGTGGAGATTTTTCTACGAGTTTAAAACGTATATTATAATCTTTTTATACTGCAAATTTTCAACTTTTACAAAGTTTTTTTTTTACAGTGCTTTTCACATTCTAGTAGCTTCATTACATACTTTTTTATAAAGTATGTGCTTGTAATTCTACGTTCTTGTTTTTATTATTGAAATTATACATTTAAAATTTAAAAAAATGAAAAGTTATTGCGTATAAAAAGAAATGTTGAAATTAAAATTATATAAATAGATTATATATATTACATATATCTCGTATATATATAATAGATAAATAAAAAATTATATAGAAAATGTTGAAAATTAATAATTTTTATATATATGAAGTTTTATCAATATTAATATATAATATTCATTAAGTACAACTTCGTATATGTAAATTATTAATCTCCAATATTTTCTACGTAATTTTTTATCTATAAATATTTTGTATCTATAAATACAAGATATATGTAATTGTATATGTGATCCATCTATATAATAATTTAATAGGTATTAATAAATTTATATCTTAACAAACATACTTGTCGTTTAAGACAAGTATTAGAATATTGCAAGTTTTATTTTAATGATTGATTCTTTGTCAATATGCAGTAGATCACTTAATAGAAAAAGACTTTTCTATTTATTTTATTGAAAATTACCTAAAGATATAAACTGTTCATAGCAAACAAAATATGTTATATCCGTAACTTCATCTCAATATCGTTCTCTTATATGAGGATTAGATAATTATAGCCTGTAACTATCTCGGGATATAATTTCTTTGGAGGTTGGATCGAGATGTATCTAATTCAACTCGCGTTTCCAACAGCAGGCATTCGTTAGGACTTTTAATTACTCCCAAGGCACTTTCAAGTATACAGTTTCTAATTAAACTCTCTGTTAAGCTACGTGAAATCAGTTTCGACTCTTTTCGGGCTAAATGCATATTTAAGGAGCAAGTTGCGACAAAGCAATTACAAGACCTTTACGACTTTTGGTCTAACGATACCGATTCCGAGTTTTAATTTGCTGAAAGTTTCAGCAGAGGAAAGAAAGATAGAAAATAAAAGAAATAGAAAGTGCGGAATTTATTTATGAAAATGTTTGGTTTTTATTATTAATTCACAGATAATATAAATCAATCAGATATCGTATTTATATATATTTAATTCAGTAGTATAAAATACCATTTGTTGGATTGTCCTTTGTACGCGAATTTGCACAGTTTTTTTTTATAAATTGTGAGATTTTTTCTTAAAATAAATTTTAAGAAATTTGAGGGTTTTGAGAAATTAATATTTTTTTATGTTCTCAGTGATTTGAACAGATCTCTTTTCTTACGAATTGAACATCAGAGTGTAAATAGAGGTGGATAAAACTTTTTCATCTTTCATATAAAATTATGGAACAGGCTTTACTTTAATAGATCTTCAATTTGCGGATTAGTTGAAAAGATATTGAAGATTAAGGATAAAAACTTGTGGAGGAAGACAGTTTAATTAGATTATCGGTCCATCGGAAACCTTAACTCAGCTAAAGAATCCTTAAAAGGAAATAAATTGCGGACAGCTGTGGATATTTGTTTAAAAATCGACGTCCAAATTGTGAAATTTTAAAGCTGAGTGCACTGCACACGGAGCTTCTGTTTGTACTTAATCGCGCTAAAAGCAGTGGTAGTTTTACCTGCGACGCATCGATGCATGTGGCACACACCAAGCAGGCGTTGCAACATGCGGGATTTGAAATAACGAGACGTCGCCAACCGCGACACGTGTCCCGATGTAATTTCCTTCGATGCCATTAACTAAATATTATGGCGGCAAAAACAAATGTGATGTTTTAAATGGTCGGGTCACGCGAAAATTAAACGTCGTTTGTAAGCTCAATCGGAAAACGAATAACCAATAAAGGCGGTATTTGCCAATGTGTAAAATTACTTGAGCATATCGGAAAACGACGCGTAAATTCTACACTGACGTGATAATAACGCGCATTGTGCACGTGTGATCGTACACAATGCATCGCGCGTTATAAATTATGTCCAGCGAAAAGTTATGAAATAATTTCTTTCGAGACATTTTATTGTTGCACGTTGACTTATCGCACCGTTTTTTATTAGCCTTTGCAATGTGATGAATGTGAGAAAGAAGTAGTGCCATTCGCCTGAAAACAATGTTGTTTTATTAAAAATTCGATATGTCATAATTTTACAAGAAATATTAAAGATTAATAATTTAATCTTTCAATTTTTACTACGCGGGATTGCTGCACAAGTATAAGAATATTGACGAGAGTGTGTTCATTCTCGATTATTCTTATTTTCCAGCTACTGCCATGCCATTGTTTTCGTAGTACTTATACGTTTTTTAATCTTAAAAGTCTAACTTACATCTGTATATGATTAATCACTTATCACTTCCATCATTACATCTTTGAATATAATATAGAAATTGGCATGCCCAAGTAAAGACGGCTAACACAAAAAATATTAGTTCTTACGATTTATATTAATCTTGTGGCGAGAGAGGAGAGAGAGAGAGGAAGAGATAAACATTGTGCTAGTATCGATGATAACAATGCAACGTAATTTGATTAATGGCACAAAATTATGATCTTGATATTACTACATTTCATATAAAATAACACACACATTATAGTTTATATATCGAACAAAGTATTATAATTATACATCTAACAAAAGGATTTTATATACATATTTTCTTATTCCATAAATATTTATGATGTTAGATTGGAGACAACTTGACGAAACTTTTTATCTTTTTTTCCTCGCTCGAGTTTGCGGAAATGCTGCTTTTTGTCGACTAAATGCTTTTGAAAATATCAATAGAGATGTTGCATATTTATTTTCCATTGTTTCGCATTTTCTTTCGCTTTCGCGTTTATGTGCACTTTTACGCGGTACGGTTTCACTTTCAAGAAACGCGAAACAAAGGAAATCAACGAGGTCTTTGAAAACAAGGAAAACGCGCTTTTGTTAGCTCCCGTCGTTACAAGGCTTTAAGAAACACGAATCTTTCAATTCATCCCCGTAATTGGCTTCCAATCTAACATTATATTTTTCCTGACTCGCGAATCATGTTTCTCTAAATGAATGCAATGCACTTAAAAGTCTTCCGAAAGTTCGTAACATCGCAAAAGTGGTTTGCCGTGTCGGTCGTTTGAATCACAACATTTATTGGTTATCAATTCCCTTCGTGAAGGGACCAACGAACACTTTGCTATCCGCTAGAAACAACACGCAACAAATCCGTAGGAGAATATTAAGTGTTGATGCTTTTTTTTTGTTTCTATATAAGAATTGCGTTTGCCGTTTCTTGCTACAATAAATTTCTATTGTGAAAGGGAAATATTATTTGTCTAACGCTATTTGGTACTAGGAGATTGCGCGTAGGGATAATGTTTCTGTACCATTGCAAAGTGAAGAGGGTTTAGCTTGATATCGTACTTATCGTATAACTCATTTCGGCTAAAAGAGGACATTTCTTATCTCATAAGAAGATTTGCTTCAGTCATTTTGCTGGATATAATAGTTTATTTCTTAAGCCAGGTACTTTTTTTTTTACTGAAATTAGATGTAGTATTTTGTAATAAATAATCCCATGAAAAAGATGCAGAATTTGCATATAATTGTGCTCAGGAATTCATAAAATTGGATTTTGAGTGATGAATTAGTTAATTTATTAGCTAAGCTTATCTATAATAAATTAACTTGTGCATAAAATTAAAAAAGGCACATAATTGTGCTGAAAGATTCGATTTCGTGTTGTTTCATATTTTGATATAAAAATATTTTTTCGCAATCTTAAGAAATATGACTCTTGTCCAGATTTATGTTGTAGTGAATGAAGAGAGATCTGAGAATTTATGTTCTTCGAAGAGAAGGAAATATTAAATCTTTGCGTTCCAACATCTAGAGAGATACATATTTAATTATATATTTTATTATTTGAATAAAAATCTTTTTCTATTATAAAATAAATTATAAAGACTGCAAAAATACCACAAATTAAAATAAATTATACTACTTATATTTACATAAGCAATATACTTTTATTGGTTAAAAATCGTGTAAATGAAAATTGTATAATGGAACTGAATAATTTATATATAATTATTAAAGAATTAGAAAACTTAGGAATTATTAGGAAATGTAGTCATATGCAAAAGTATTGTCACTATAATTATGAAACTAGAAATGCAAATATAAAGCGCGGAAACAATCCGGTATTTTTAAAAAATTCCAGTTGAAAACGACTGCAGAATAAAGTACTAACATTCGAGAGACGAAAAGGCCTGTAGAGATACAATTCGCGACCGCAACAATTTATCGAGTTTCTGCGTCGGTGAGTGGACACAAATAAATAAAAATCTAACTCCGACGGGAAACTTTATGCATTCGCGCGATTTGCTCAGTGATTTTATTCAAGATGATAAAATTAGCTGCAAATAGAAAGCGGAGATTAATTGCGACTATTCCTCGCGTGTTGCGCAGTAATTGTGACGATTTGGCCCAGAAATGCTTCATTGCACAAATGGCACTGATTTAAGCGAGTTTTAATTTATCGCAGCGACGCAATCTCTCTCCGCGGATTTTTATTTTGTAATCTTTCTTTTGTGCGTTTGCAATCGATAAGAATATCGAGCGTGTCGAATATACCACTTTGCAATAAATGCAAGCACGAGATTGCAAACATGACAATTCGATTATTGCATTCGCGTGTGCCGCGCACTCTTGAAACCGAGAATTGGCCACTTTTTTTCTCACTTGTTCTCGGAGGAATGTTTGATATTTCAGTGAATTTTAATAACGCGCTGGGTCTCGAAAGCTCCGCTTTGTAAAATTTGACTGAGTGGCCCGATTTATTGTTGCCGGGAGAGTTCTCGATTGGAGTGAGATTAAATAATTTCAGACGTATTTATAAAAACCCTTTTAAGAGAGGCGTGAAAATATGCAATATTTTTCGTGACTTATATTTTTAACGACACAATGAATAAAGCCACGAATGGTCGTAAAATAATAATATAATTATATACATTTTGAAAAATATTTTTTAGATAGTTTAGCTAGAAAATATATCACAAAGTATTACAAAATATTTATCAAACTGTCTATACTTTGTAAAAATATATATATTAGCAAATTATTGGAAAGATATTTATAAAGGAGACGAATACAATAGATTTGTTGCTAAATATAACTGATTCTGATGTTATAGAGATATAGGTCATCTAGTCATTGATTAAGAAAAAAGCTATATTATAACAATATGATGTTGTAATTGTCCTTATTCTCTTTTAGAATCCATAATTGGATAATTAATATTTCAATTATAAGAGTTATTAAAGAGTTTCTCATTAAAACTGCACAAAAAAGAATACAAAGATAGCATTTCAAAGAGAAATACTTTGCGTAATGATTTTTTTTTTGTTACTTTTTGAGAGTAAAATGCAAATTGTGATTATAATTTGCATTTAATTTGAGCAAAGGAAGAAGTTGCATCAAGATTTTTTAATATTTAACTACATGAATGTAAATCGCAAAGGAAGACTGTCCTTTGGCCGACACAAATCGTATAACTCGCACTGCATCGTTAATTATGTTAATCACTGCATACGCTTTCATGGCTGAGCTTTCGAATAATTTCACGACAAAGTCCCCTATCTGTTCTGTGAGTCGTAAAAACATTATGCCAACTTTCGCATTATTCCATACGTAATTAAAATGAATATTTAATTGTTCTATTTCCTCAGCTTTCAATCCTGTATCCCATTTGCATATGAAACTAATTTGTTACTTATTATTTTAAATATATTTTTTAATTTACGATAAATATTTTCGATATATAAAGAGATTAAACAAAATAAAATTAAAAACTCTTCAAAAATAAATCAAGATTATTTTTACTAAATATTGCCTTTAAATTTCACGAAAAATATTATTTCTGAAACGACAATATTTCATAGCAAAAATGAAACGTTTTTGCAAATAAATAAATAAATGTATTCTACATAATGGAATAAACAAACAGAAAGCGCATGTTTTCATTTTCTAAGATTTTTTATAGCAAAAATTTGTTAAATTTTCGCTAACAAGTGAACAATATGATGAACGATTTTTCAAATGCAGTATTGAACATAATTTACATAAATGAAGCCTGAGCTATTTAAGCAAGAATTTCGTTGCTGCCGTGTTTTTCGAAACAAGCTTCATGCTGTAGAAAATTGCACTGCAACCGACGTAATGCATTGTAATGATCTCTGCCGGGAAATTTTGAGCTATTTAAGCTCAGTTTAATAGGCGCGCTTTGTTACGTTTCAACTGAACCGTGTTATTAGCTACCTGTTAATATTAATTGACTTGACAGAGCGTAATAGTCTTAACACTTCCATTATCGTATAAAGTTAAGTATGTTTAGGATTTGGACAGCGTATATAAGACCGACATAATTAATTATTAATAACACAAATTTCCAATGTAGGTCAGAATTGAACAAAAAAAAAGAGGTAAAAACCAATTATATCGATAGCATAGATAGCTATTGGAGCGCAAAGAGTTAATAGAAATTAGAATAATACGAATGTTTTTTAATAAATGTTTTTTTATTATGAGAGCATTATGATGCGCCGTTTATGGGATAAGTTATATTTTTACAAAGTTTGAAACTTTTTTCAAACTGCAATACTAAGGGGATGTGTATAAGCAGACCAGCTGCGGAGTACACGCGATATATAATCTCTTATTCTTTTCTCGCACTCTTTTCTGCCATAATCAAAAGTCTCTAAAAATTAAAATGTTTATGAATGACTTTTATGACTGACGTCATTCACGACGTCATAACTGATTTCATTGGTTATATTTCCATTAAAGGATCCATTAAAGGATCGATAATTTTTTAACTAAAAGTATGCTAGAATTGTATAATAGCATTATAAAATTTTTAACGATTATAATTGAATAACTCTGTTAAGTGCTTTCTCGTATTTCTATCGCGGATATCTATTTTTTTTTTAAATATATAACACACCGTTTTTGTGCGTATGATCAATCTGACGTTAGCCGGCCGCGTCGTTGCTGATTAATTGCAATGTAAGTAAGTAACGCGCAAAATTGAAAAGAAACATGTTGGAAAAACATAGCGGGTCGCCAGCCAACTTAAGCAAATATTTGTTGCACATCTGGTGTGTAGTGTGTCCGGGACGAAGAGCCGAGCGCTCTTGAAAACGCCGCGAGCGTTATAAAGTTCGCAACGACGACGGCGCAATTAGGGTCGGTGGCAGTAGCGAGCAAATAAATTTCACCTCTCTTCGCTTGTTGCCGTGTTTGCTGGCGAACGGAGATTCGCGTAGGGTACATCCTCTTTCAATGTGCGGACTTGCGGTACGCGTGTCTGAAAGGTGGCTTAATCAGCTCAACCCTTTTACACCGGATAGCAACGCATTCGTTGGTTTCTTCGATGCTAGACCTGGGTGACCTGGGTCACCGTGTGATTGGTCCCGGTGTGCCCGTTGTTCTCCATCGGTTGATGCGGCACCGGCATCCACCTGGTGAATCGCCACCGGTTGCAAAACAGCTGTTTGAAGGTCATGCGGAATTGCCGGCTCATAGCGCAGTATAGGATGAAGTTGATGGCCGAGTTTATGAGCGTTAAGATGTCTATCACGTCGCCTGTCGAGAAGAAGGAAAGAAACTTGATTAGCAAAAGTTGAGAATTACGAAGAACGATTTATCTTTTGAAACTTTTCCATCAGTTCGAGCACCTTTGAATGAATTTTTCAGAACTTCGTCTCTGGAATTTCGTACATAAATTTCTTGCTGATAAAGGAGAGAAATTCTACAGGGATCCTTTGCGATCACTTTTTTTCGCGGATTAAAACACTTCTTTAACCATTTCCCGACTATACGACTAGATTTTACTTTGCGGTTTAAGTAGCAAATTATCGTAAATTAGGGTTGTAAAAAAAAGTTTTTTTTTTAATTTTTGTTGTACCAAATAAAAGCTAGCTTACTAAATAATTAAGTTAGAGTAGAGTCAGGATTTTCTACGATTATAGGTGCGCACTAAATTTTAAACGGTTTGAAAGTGCGAGTTTGCAGAGGTTAATCCGGACTTTACTAAAGTTATTTTCTACAATCTTCTCTTTCAAAAGCTTCCAGAAATATTTCTTTCATCTTTCTTTATTTCCGTACTTCTTTATTCTTTTCTGGTTTTTTTATACTCATTTTTATTTCATTTTAAAGAGACCGCGGTCCACTTTGTTTTTTCGGGCGTGCAATAATTTAGATTCGCGACGTGATTTAAAGAGAGATCAGAGCAGTCGCGACGGCGGCGGGACGAGCTCCTTGATCTTTGCATGGACGACTGAGTCGAACGAGAATGTTTCGCGTGACAAAACGAGAGACGGCCGTCGGACATCGGAATGTCATAAATAAAGCGACGTATTTTATAACACTTCATATGAAGAGGCGCGCATCTAGGCGGATACATTCCCGGCACGTTTCCGAGATTGAACGGAAGTTTTCACGTACCGCCCCGGATTCTTCCACCGGAACGGCGAAATAAATTTCAGACACGTCGCGTGACTTCCGTTAATAATAATACTCTTGTAATAAACCACTGGTTATTTCGCGATATTTCGCTCTATACGATAATTTAACCCGATGGTTTTTCCGGCCGTCAGATTTGTGAAATTACACGTGTGCTTCCCGCGAATTTGAATTGCTCACAATATTTGTATTTATAGCAATATACACACATATATATATATTTTCCTCGCGAATGTTACATATTGCAAAGTGTCTATCATTTGAAATATCAGCATTTTATATTTTTAGTGGCTTGATTGATGTTTAAACTGATGTGGCTATTACGTGGCGGCATAAATTAAAAAAGATAATTTATGTGAGAGTATTACAAACGTTATACATTAATATATTGTATTTTATAACAAAGTAGGTTTTTTTCAGTAAAATTTAATCAGATATAAGAAAAATAATTAATTTTTTTTGAATTTGTTTTCTCGAAGTGTTATGTAATGTAAATCTTTATTTTTTCATAGCTTTTATGATTTACGTGTAATTACACATTGCAAAAATTCTCTTATTTGTGGAGTGTTAATGTATTTTTGTGATATAACAGCAATAAATCTTTTACTTTTAATGCCTAAAATGATATTCTGGTTTAATATTCTGGGGCTTTCTGATGTTTTCTTGAACATACTTTCGCGCATACTAATTTTGTCATTATAGAACAAAAAATAAATTATTTTCTGTTTGCTTTTAAAATTTGTCGAAAGGAGCCGGAGCAGATTAAATTTGTTATTAAAAGATAAAGCATTATACAAGTTTAGGATTAGAAAAATTTTTTCTCTTCTTCGTCGCATGTCATTACGCTTTTAATGGAGCATTCAGAAAACGAATCAGCATTGTCTGTCGTCGTCGAGTCAATGGGACTGATGCAGATACGATCCAATTTTTGTAACGACGCTGAAATCACTCGTGTGCGTAATGCCGGTTACTCTTCATGTGCGGTACACGACGATCGTTGTGTACGACGTCGTTCGGCAAATCGACCGTTTATCTCAGGATTCGTTCGTGTCATATCAACTTCCGCCGCATTGCGTGGCGAGAATGCGGAACTGCGAATGCTCTTTCTCGTCTTTCTCGTGAATTTTTTTCGGTTCGCGTTACAAATGACGATGTTTGTGTAAATTGCCTTTCCATGCTCACGTGCAAATTCAACGCACGGCCGCAAGCTGCGAGTAATTCCAACAAATTGTATGTCGTTTGCCTAGATCTGCGTTTTCCGCTACATTTAACGCTTCACGATTGTTGGAGAAAATAATAGAGATTGCGATATTGTCTTTTAAATAGGGGTCGTATTCGATATAAGATTATTATCGGTGATTATGCTAATTTTCATCCTAGGTTTGTGCATCGCTTGATACAATATTTAACGGTTATGCATTCCAAGAGTCATAGAATAATATCGTTAATATTACAAAAATTCTTCAAATTTTATTAGAAATTAACAGAATTTTATTAAAAATTGATGCGCTAAATATTTAATTTTCATAAAATTATTTGATAACGAAGATTCCTGGATTAATTTGGAGTCGGGTCTTTAAATAATGCAATATAAGTGGGGCAATTTGTAAAGCAATGACGTTACGGTTGCAACAATTACAACTTGCTTACATTACGTTTGGTTTTATGATCACTGTTATAAGAGATTCCACAATCTAATAGCGTTTGCGGTCACCGTGCCGCATTATACACACGACTCGACGTAACATCAGTGTTTACATTGCAAAAAGCCCTTGTTATTGCAGAATAATGAGAACCACAGAGAGTACGAATAATAGAACGTGTGTAAGTGTACGTCAAATAAGACCTCACTTGCAATATCGGTGTCCTTTGTCATTGTCCTGGTCGTTCCATTTTGGAGTCGCGTGATAAGTACGGCGCATCCCAGTATCGAACGTTAAGTAAATACCCCGAAGGATCCTTCTAGCAGGAGTCGGTAACATCGTCGTTGTTTTTAGAAGTGCGAAAATAAAAGAAAATAAAACGTGGGTGGATAGAATCCGTCGAGTGTACGCCAATATATAGATATAACGTATATCTTTTGGCGCGGGATTGCAAGGTGGTCTTTTGCTTTATATCGAAACAGCCAACCATTCACAATCCCTCATTGAATTTTGATAATGGATATTTCAACCATAAACATAGCACAGCTTTTAAAAAGCGGAAGCAAAGTGGAAATTTATTATGCTTTGTTCGGCATTTGTTCTTGTTTATTTTACAATAAGAAAGACGGTAGAGAAACGTGAAATAGATATGCATTACGCGTTTGTAAGCCATAAAATTAAATGTTTAAGTTTATGGATTACGTCTATTCTGTTTAAGCTGTGCGAATGTATATTTCAGTGATATAAACACAAATTATGCAGACCGTCATACTGTCAAAGGTAGTATAATAAAAAGTTTTACAAATGAATATTTACATATATGTAAATACATATATTTACCTCAAAATATTCATTTCTAAAACTTTTTATTATACTACCTTTGAACGTATGACGGTCTGCATAATTAAAAAGCTATAGCTTTTCAATAAAAAATTACACATTATTTATGCAAAACTTGCTTTTACGCACTATTTATACTTTTCTTGTTGAAAATGTTTGTTGCACTATTTTTTTTTATAGAATTTGTTCAGGATTACAAGTAAGAAAGCGAGAATTCGTTCGAAGCTTCGAGAATCGTTGGCCTTTCTTTCGCCGCTGTTTGTTTATTCCAAGAGAAACGGCCTTCAAGCGGTTAGTTCGCGACCGTATAAGAAATCGCCGAAAAACAAGTAGTTGCATTTTTCTAACGCCTAATGCGATTGGCAGCGTGTTACCAAGCTCGCGGTGTCGATCGCTGATAGGCAGCTTTTCGGCGGCTAGCGTCGACTACGTGCCGGTTGCTGCATGCCCAGCCAGAGTCCGAGACGAGAGAGCAGCGAGCACGGACGTGCAACGCGAGTGTAACGCGACGAAAGACTTTGTAACGCGAACGCGCGAATGAGTTCGTTGTCTAGATTGATCGCCGGGTGTAATTGTCAATTTTGCGCTACGCGTGAACTTGGCGCGAGACACTACCGTGTCTCTTGATAAAGAACTGGTGAAACCCACGAGGCGGATCATTCATTTCCAGCGCGAACCTACAGCCGCGATCGAGCAATAAAGAACCGGCATAAATAAATATTTTTTTTTTGCTACGGGAGAACGAAGGCTCTCGTACAGAATTTATCGTATTGATTAAAATATTTGCGCGAAGAAAGATAGTTTAACAATAAATACGGCGAGAATGTTTTATGTAATTAGATAGCTCAATGATTTCTTAATGAGATTGCGTGCCACTTTCCGGAAAACCATTATGGTGCTCTGTTGCTCGTCTTCGTCAAGCTCTGACGTTTTTTGCAGCTTTAAAAGATTGTTTTTGTCCGTGCGGAAGAAAAGACGGGCGCAAGTCTTCTTTCTCTTCAATAGGATTCATGAAATGCTCTGCAAGCGTGTTTCGAGTGATCCTCAATCAGTGCGATAGAGTCGCAAGAATAAAAACCAAGAACTGAGCTTTAGCGACGGTTTTAAAAAAAAATATACGCGACCTACGTCGTTAAATCTATCAAGAGTACTTTACCTGCGCGAGTAGAAAAAAAAACCCAGTTCTCTCTCTCGATTTCGATCAATCGGCCCGGAAAGATAAATTGCTCTTTGTCTCCGTTTGCGCGTTCCTCTGCTTTCGTTCAGATTCAATTCGGTATCTCGATAGTCGTGCGATAGGACGCGAAATGTCGAACGTGGCGTCCGAGACACTTTCGCGATTCGTTATGGCGGACTCGTGTAGCTGTTTGTTAAATGTTGCCGCATGGACGGACACACATGTGCTCACGCGTTTTGCATGAATTTTCCACCTGCTTACAAGCGTAACCTTGCAAGGTGACTGCACGATACACGGGAGGGTGAAGAGTGCTAATTCCAGCGCGAAAGTTCTCAAACTATTTCCTACTAGTTTCGTATGCGCATATCGGCAAACTTTAATGAAACATTCTGAATAGCAGATATTATGCCTTTAATTTATAACTTAATAATAAGTATTACGAGGAACGTCTTTGCAAGAAA